ATAGCAAAAAGCTGTCAAACTGAAGGAGTGGCAGCAGTGAATATAAATAATAGTCAAATTGACTCTTATACCATGAAAGTGACAAACAAGTATACGACTCGCCTGATGGTAAGCGGCTATCGCGTCCTATAAATGCCTAAACACTAAGAGTGTTGTAATTAGACTCTTGAAGATTTTGAATCGCAGTACCCAATAATATCACTTCAAACTGGGCCATAAGTAAGAAAGCATAGACTTCGTATGGCGATAGTAATATGTGAGATAGAGATAGATCCTCATGTATGCGAATTTGTACTAAGTCTTCCTTTGATAGAATTCGGCAGCAAACTATAAATAACATGCATCCTGACTAGTAATGTAGATTTAGTCATTTGCCACCAGTAAGCTAATCAAATTTTGTTGCTCCTACTGATCTCTATAATTCGATATCCTAGTTGACATTCATATTAATTACAATTTTGTTAATGAAATTATAACTTAAAAACGAATTTGGCCCCAAATATTCCATCCCTAAAATCTGCTGTCCTGTACTCCTACTTACTAAAACTACTGATAAACCCACCACTCGTTTTAACAAGCTTGTAGTAGATAGATATTAATTTTAAGCGAATATTGATGTACGTCAGTTTGATATTTTGCTAAATTAGATGGCGCGACGTCCTTTGTTCTCATCCGTGGCTTTAACCTTGAAGGGACACGACAAGATTTTGACCTACACGATATAAACTTTCCTAGATTGTTGACCATTCTTTTTTATGATTTATATTTATATGAAATAGTAGTGTTTGAGGTACTTATGTTTTTCAAGTGCTTTGGTTTCATTGACCTACAGTATAGTAGTAGATTTTTTAGTTATCAGTCAGTAGGTAGGCACAATGAGCAATGTTATCTCCCGTGCTATTTGTTATCGCTACACCAACGCAACTTCGGTTAATCACTTCACGTAACTTCCTTTAATGATTTTTGCACAATTGCTCGTAAAATAAACAAATAGGTTATTTTTTTTTTAAAGAATACACTACCTACGTCCACTACAAATTCTAGGGATTAAGCGACGACGCTACCAATTACTATTAATTAAAAAAAATTACTCACCACCGTGTCACGTTGTTATACTTACTTTCTACTTTCACTCTTAGAACTGTTGTTTGGTAATAATAGTCCAAGTAAGAGGCACGGAGGAATAGGCATCTAGTGCTTTATCTACATTTGTGGCAGTCTCAAAATTCACTCATTTATAGGTTAGCTCAATAGAACAATCTTTACAGATCACTGGAATATCTATCCTATAAGTTAGTATCTTACGTCCTATAGAACGCCCCTAACGACAACGTATAGTTAACCAGGAATTTAAAATTTTCCATTATGTACCTAATACACAGTATTTTACACCACTAGTGGACTGACTGGAATACTTATTTAATTACAAAATTAAAGCTATCGTAACAACCGTCTATGACGGTGTCAGAAATAAATACGTTTATAAATCAAAACATGATAATTCTGAAACTAGAAGGCCTGACTTGCAATTGCGCCAAAAATAATATTGGATAAGTAACTGAGGACGGGAAAAACAATAACGAGAGCTATAACCCTGAGGTAAGATAAACAAATAAAAAATATTTTTGCTCATCAACTACACAACATGCAATATTTAAGCAATTTTACACAGCTGACCTGCCGCCAGACAATACACACAATTATATATTATGTACATGTTAAACTACTGCCACAAATAATTATATTATGGATTATTATTATTATTATTATGTATAAATAACGTAAGTAAATAAGGACACAATAGGTAGGGGATAAGTATATAGAAAAAAAATAGAGTAATATACATTAAAATCTATTTAAACATGAAATTTATTAAAGATTAAAACATACAATGTTTTGTTTACACAAAATAAAATATCTGGAGGATTAAGACAGGAGCCAGGGCACGCAACAAGCGAGGCGGGGCGTGCCCTAACTCCCATTATGGTCAGATATACATACTGCGACAGGTCCATACATAGTCCAATAATATAATACCATATTATATGATAAAAAGTGGATACACATATAAGATACTGTCAAGCCAACTAAACTCACAGATAGTCATGTTCTTTGCAAATATAAAACTATATTAAATCTTACAAAAATACTTATGCGACTATGAAATGCATAAAGAAGATCTTCCTTCTCGACTACAAAAATATTCTGAGATTGGAATGAAATATTTCTTTTAAGATTTCGGCCCGGGTATGATCACAAATAAAACGGCGTTTATAACGTCCGTCCACATCCTAATTATTTCTTTTCTGAGTCTTAAAGCTAACAGATAGAACCTGACCATTGAGCGTGTATCCATTGAGTGCCTGAATAGCCATTGCAGCTTCATCATACTCCCTCATATTAACAAAGGCGAAACCTTTGTTTTTCTTAGTTTCAGGATCTTTGATCACTTTTATAGAGTCAATTGCTCCATATGGGCCAAAAAGCTGCCACAAAGCTAGCTCTTCGGTATCCTCACCAATATTGTATACATACACTGTAGTTTGATGTGGAGCTGGAGGTGCACCCAGCAATGGAACAGGGCTGGCAGGTGCTCCTAGCAGTGGCAGTGGTGTATGGTTAGTTGCAGCCATTGGGTTAAAGCGCTGCTGGCCCTTGTTGATGAAAGGAAGGGCCTTACCAGGTGACGGTAGAAGTGGCGGTGGTGAAGCTTGAGGAAATCCAGGTGCGAAGGCGGCAGGTCGAGCTCCAAATGCCGCACTGAGGTTCGTGCCATTAAACGCGGCTGGAGTAGTCCCGTTAAACACCGCCGCAGTTCCGTTGTAAGCCAAAGGCGTAGCGCCCACACCGACCCGCGGAGCCGGTCGCGGTGCGTTCTTATTTGCATTAGGCTTGTTAGCAAACTTAACGACTATAGCACCAGCTCCAGGTATTGGCGTTTGTCCATTTAAATGTTTTATCGCCTCTTCTGCCTGTTGCCGGCTTTCAAAACATACAAAACCGATGCCTTGTGATACACGACTATTGGTTATGACCCCAAACGAACTAAACAAGCTGTTAAGTCGTTCCAGCGTCATGTCAGGAGGTAGATTACTAATGTAGAGGTTTGATTCTGTGTCGGGTTTATGGCTGACTTTATTTTCTGGATTGAGCAGTGCGAATGACACCTTTAATGTCTTTCCTTGCATGAGGAGGCCGTTGAACGCCGCCCGCGCCTTCTCAGCGTCCTCGTGTTTTTCATATTCCACGAAACCATAACCTCTGTTTGCGATCAATTTACAGCTTTCAATCTTGCCCATCGCAGAGAATAACGCGTACATCATGTCGCGCGTCATCAATTCGGGTATATAATTGACCATGAGCTTGGTCGGTGACACATTGGAATTGGCGTCGCCGCCGCCATTCTCCATTTCGTTATTTAACATTGTTCTTTTTCTTTACGTACTACACTACCAAAAACAAAATACTAATGAAACGTTCACTATAAGAAATTGACTAATTCATTTGCAACATGTATAATAAAGAACAAAGAAAGAACACAAAACTACAGTCACCACACGAAAATGCTAAGCAACGCCGGTTCACAAGTTCATCATCACTCAATTTGTCGTCGGATCGGCTCGAACAAGTTTGCGTTCAAAATGTTACCAGAACATCAATAAAATAATAATAATTAATTATGAATGAACAACAACTTATACAACATTTATCGAAATACAATGTAAGAAAATAAATTAATAATTTTATTTACACGTGTTTAAATATTTTTGGTTTCTGTCAATTTTTTATTCCATAATTTTAATAAATTTTGTTGGCGTGGCATATATTAATTTTTTGTCTATGGTTGTGAAACAGCTGAAACAAAACAGTGAAAATGGTTATACCACCATAGATAAGATGGTGCTTACAAAGTACCACCATAGATAGGTATAATGAAACAGATACAGACAACATCCGTGCCAGTAGTTGTGATTTTAATCTATGATAAATTCTCATGTTTAAATATTTGTTCTTAGCCAAGACCAATGAATTACATAGAAGAAATGATAAAATATAAACTGTTAATCATATGGTTGCCTCCTTTCTTCTTATACAAATATAATCAGTAAAAAGAGAATAAAAGATACATCATTAATTACTATTTTTCTCAATTCATAGTGCGCGCGATCAGGTTTGCGCCCGAGCGCACACCAAAGACTCTCCACCCATTCCAACATACCGACCATTCGCCGTCCATAAGTCCCGTTCGCATAGTCCATAAGTAAGAATCGACACCTCTGTCGCTCCCCTCTCGCGGGTTTGGAGTGCGTTTGGTGAAGCTGTAAAGGCTACACATGGCCAACAGCAAACACATTCAGAAAAAAAAAATCAATTCATAGCAAGTCAGTGTACAGAAAATGTTTGTTATGTCAATTATTTGTTAATGATACAAATAATGACATAGCAAACATATATATGTATATGTATATGTATATGTATATATATATATATATATATATATATATATATATATATATATATATATATATATATATATATATATATATATATATATATATATATATATATATATATATATACACATCACGACATGCTTATATTAACTTCTTTTTTTTTAATGAATGGTAATGGAATGGTAAACCTTGCCTACGATATCGGTATACGCTGGCGGAGCACCAGTGACAGATAAGATAGATGAGGATGAAACATATCAGTTGGCCCATAATGACGAATTTATAAATAATTAATCAAGATGGTTTCTATGGGGAACCGCGTAGAGGTCGACTTTAGAGCTGTTAGATCCCCATTACTAACAATCTTTACCGATATTTCATTACATTTTTCATACTCACCTATCATTCCTTACCGATATTTTATTAGCATATTTATATATAGCGCGCATTGTATTATCATTTAACAAGGGATTAGGTCAATGGTGTCACTTCTGTAGAGCGTTTTAAAAACTGAATGATTACAGATTAGAGAGAGACTATAGTTTCTCTAATCTGTGCAGTACATCACCTCTTGTCAAATTCGAAATGTTTTTTTCATAAATTTTTCTTAAATCTAAACTAAAACATATTTTTCAATTGTAATCTTTTAAAAAGGAAATAGTTGTCCACTGCAAACCTTTTTGTTTGTTTTATATATTTTAAGCCTAAACTTACATTATGTTCTTAACTAATATATTGTGTAAAAAAGCGAAAAGCAAGTTAGTTAACCTCACATAGCTATTTTTTTTTCCTGCAATAGTTTGTATAAAACTTATAACTCATTAAATTATTTTTAGGTTGATAATGGTTTTAATGGAGAGTGCAGTCTCTGGACATAAATTCGTTACTATTAGAGAACGTCTCGCTGACAAATTAGAAATACTGAGATATGACCCATACAGTAAGTGTAAACTAATCCTGTTTAAACATCACGACATTGTAACTTATTAACTTATTTGGATTGCATAAATATTAAAACTTTATTAGGTGCATTGATTATTTTATGATATGGTCTGAATATAGTGTCACAGTGAAATAAGCGGAACAGAATGAAAGAATTGTTTTATTTGAATACTTTCAATTAGTTATAGTGCTCAATTTTATTTATTAGTTTAATTTTACAATATCCTTTCTCCCATATAGATAGTAATTAATGTACATTATGGTAAATCTATTCATGCAGTAGTGACTATCTATTTGTAGTGAAGCATTTGTATGGAGATACTATATTTATTATCTAAGGAATGACTATGTTATCGCAAAGTATTATTCATTTTACTTTTGTAGGTATTTGCATAGTTACTCTCCTAGATTGTACCTTGGATGTTAGTAGACTAGAAATCTGCTGGGATATTGTCAGCTTGTTTTCCATTTCTAAGTATCATAAAATAATTCTTAAAAATTTAGCAAAAACAATGACATCATCATATTAGCTTTTATCTGTCCACTGCTGAATATAATCCTCCCCATTGAGGAGTTTTGCCAGTAGTTGCTATGCTTGACAGGCATATTGGCAACCATGGTTTTAGTAGATGATTTAAGAGGGCCATTGCTGCCCATTCCTCACCTTTCTTTAGTCTATTTTTTTTAATGGGTGATAATAAAATGGTAACCCCAGCCCATTTGCACTATCGGTATACACTTGAGAGGCACTAGTGAGGGATGATAGATGAGGATGAAAGCAGGTTAGTTAGTGAAGAATTTCATGAGAAGTAACCACAATTCCAGGGAGAACCACATGAAGGTCAACCTGATTAGTAACATTGCTAGCAATGGGACCGTTAGACCCCATCACTAACAATCCCTTTTTCCCTCCCTTAGTCTTACAACACTCACAGGAAAGGAAGTGAAACAATGTATAGACATGTCATTTTTTATTTATGGCAAATATTCAACTCTACTCATGGTTTATGATTCAGGATCATTTGCATTTTGGGATTTATATATATATATATATATATATATCAACAATAGCAGTACATGATCATTGATTAGTGTGTTATTTATTACTATTTCAGTACAAGAAGAAAGTCTATACAGAGAGCGAAAAAAGATCAGAAGTATAAAATCATCATAAGTTATTTTACAGGTGAAAAAAAAGAATAAAATATTTGCATCTGTTTAGAGAAGTATTCTACTAATGTAAATGAATAAGAAACAGAAGGAAAAATTACAAAAAATGTTGAGAGTTTCTCATACAGATTTAATAGATGGATATGCTGAATTAGAGTTATAATAGATGTAACAGGGAAGCTCAAAATATTTTATTATTCTCTCACCAAACGTTCTTAAAGAAAAATAAAATGTTCAGATCTGTGGTAGAGTACTCTTTTAAAAAGATACTAAGGATTCAGATTTCACCGTGTACATATTAGGATATTAGGTTATAAAATAAAAAAAGCAGTGTTGTATTTAAAATGTTATAATTTAGTTATTGTACTTTAAACAATAAACAAATCTTTGGATATAATATTGTGTTTCACTATGTTCCTAAAAATGATGAAATTTGGTAATTAAGTACTGGTTATCTTATTTTGCCACCAAATTTCATAGATTATAAACAGCAATGTGTCTAAAATATATGTCCAATATAATGAGTTTAGAATATATGCTTTACATTCCACATCCTTATATTATCTAAATGGTTGAGAAAACTGTACGCAATAACTGTTTTTCAAAATACAAATCACAAATACATTCATCAGAATGGTGCCATATCAATACATTAAGTGCTAAGAGTGCTACTGAAAACAATAAAATTTTTAACTTGATACTTTATTTACATCAGAATTGGGTCCTGATGATTTTTGTATATGTTTTGATATTATGTATCTATAGATAATATGTCAAAATTCTAATTCAAATTTTCTTATATAAGAATATCCAATAGGCCAAATAATTTAATATATTTTTTCGTATCACAATTCCAAAACTAACTAATACAGTATTTTTCATTAAGTTACAATACAACAATTAACGAAATTATCTTTTGTATAATTTTACCATAATATATGAATAATTTTATTATCCAAAGTAAATAAAGTGCATTTATGAATATTATCATAACATTCTCTGAATTATAAATGTAAATTCTAAAACACGATTATAAATATTAAGAAACACTTATTATTTACTCTCACTATCATTTTTAAAATCTAAATAATTATGATAATAGTTTATGTTTCAGTATAAATTCAAGACTATTTATAAGTGAATTCATAAGTGACAAGGAGTTTATGCCACTAGGTACTCAAATATATTTACTGGCAATATATTGTAAATGAACTGAAACTATATCTGTATATATTTGGAATAGATTATCTATAATTACAAATAAGGTGTAATGTTTTAGAATTTTTAGAATAAATAGCTATTGTCGGAATTAAATTAAAAAAAAAATAATTTATTATTTTAAATTGAAAATGCATAGACATTGGTCAACAGCTTTATATTTAGGTAGTATGTACCTAAGTCATAAAATAATATTATGAATAAAATTGACTAGACTTTATAATGTTGAACTTTAAGGTACTTACTTAGGCTTCTATTAAAACTAATATCTACATCTACTCATTATAGTAAAAGTGCTGATAATAATTGTATCCATAACAATTTCTGTACAATATGTAATTTTATATTAAAATAAAATATTGACACCAAGTCTTCCAATTAACATTGCAGTAGAATCTCGATTATCCGAATATTTGATAATCCGGACTTAATCTTCACGGCTCCAATTACCGTTTCGGAAATGATATTACATATTAATTAAGTAAACAGGTATTATGTAACCCATTATCACTATAGCACATAATTTTATTTATATTGTATTGCCTAAATGACGTATGTAAAACCCTTTACTTAATAAAAAAAATATTTAAAATTTAATTATGTATTTTTTGATTTGACTTTTAAATCGATTATCCAGATTTTTAATAACATAGAATGCCACTGGTTTTATTTGATTCGTATAATTGAGAATCTACTGTAAACGAAAATATTGAATTTACATCAAACAAATCGGTGATGGCATAATAGATTTTAATATTGATGAATTTTTAAAAATATATAAATAGATAAGTATTAAGTTAATGCATCGTACATGCTTGTAGTTAGTTTTTATAATGAAATTGAATAAATTTTGGTCCACTAACAACAAGAGATGAGGGTAGAATTTTTTAAGGAATGATAGTAGCCAAACCTTATAATAAATTTATTTATTATACTTACTCGAGATAATAAAAACGATCACTCACTATCGTAAATATTTCATTGCAACCTTTATAAATCTAAATATTTTAATATTTAACTGAAGATTCATTTTGGCAATGTGAGTAACGTTTTAATAAATTAGGGTTTGGCATTTTTGAGAAGGTATTAAAAAACCTACCTTAAGTAGACAGGAATGGAGATTGTATCGGGCTTCATAGACTTATCTATTAAGCTAAAGAAAATTAGGTATTTATTTTTAGTGTACTATTCCTCCTCATCCCTCCACCCCGTGGGCTTAAAATAGTCACTTTATGTAAATCATATTTAATTATTAATTGTGTATACCCAACAGAGTTTACTAAACGTCTCGTACTGAGGGCCTAATATTTTACTAAACACACTGGTGAGTAAAATATTAGGTTATTAAACCGATGTTAATCAATGTGATTCACGTAAAGTTACTACTTTAGTCTCACGGGTTATGTTTGCAAGATTATATACTATAGCTTAACATAATTACTAAATAATTCTTAGAGCCTATATATGGATGATACAGAGTCATGGTTAAGTAATTATAATTTATTCACCTATTGTATCTTATAATAACACAGTTTAAAAGTAAAAGATGTTTGAAATAAGTGTCAATTATTGAAATTGATAGAACGAAAGAACAATTCAATAGAACTTATCTTTCAATGACCAGTATATTCCAGAGAGTAGTAAGTTAGACATGTATATTCTTTTATAACTAATATATAAAGATTATAACCTACTAAAGTGATTAATAATAATATATTTTATATAGTTACTTATAATTATTGTTAAATAAGTAAAAAGATCGAATTTTCCTTAAAATAAAAATGAATATAATATTTTATTGATCATTAAATGGATCATAATTACATTATACCCGTAACAAGAACGTAATATATTTGCTATTCTAAGGTAATTATTACCTAAACTTTAAATTCCAAAAGGCCGAAAAATCACTTCTTTTCAGTACGATTTTTACTCGTTAATTTTCTCGTTCCAATCTTTCGTTAATGTAATATAATAATGTAGGGTGTATTACAAATTGTATAGACGATAATGTACACGTATAAATACTTATACATACAATAATCACACGCAGTGGCATGCAGGACCCGATGTGTTTATGTTGGCGCTTCGGGCCACCTGAATATTTTCCTTCCTTAAAAATGTTATCTAATGAATATTGGGGCTGATTCTGAAGCGTCATTTCTCTAAATATATCTCTTAATCTAATATTTTAATTTGTGAAATTTCTGATTCATAGACCATTATAAACCAAAATTATAATAATTGTGACTTAGATCTATGGGAAAATTAGTTTATATTGGTCCTCATACTAAAGATTTCGGTAGGATACCGAAATGAAATTTTAGTTTTAGAGATAGGTTTAGAGAAATGGCGCCTCAGAATTGACCAATGTGCAGTGTTGCCAGATTTGGTATTTCTTTGCAATTTTGAGTAAACATTTTTCTGTTTGGAAATTTTGGAGAAATTAAATTCTTGGAGAAAAGTGAAATAAGTTTGAAGAAATTTGCGTAACTTTTTGATCAGTTTTGGTGTTGGTATAGAAGTACACAAATAATGATACCAAAATAGAGGATGAGTCAAGAGAAGGAGAGAATAAGATAGGCTAAATGTAATTTTTATCGATGTTTATAGCAAAACGTATTGACAAATGATATAACTTTATGATTGGGTGAAATCGTATCGGTTTGTAGAAAAAATATTTCATTTTCGGGTTAAAATAAAAATTCGCATCTGGCAACTCTGACAATGTGTGACACCAGTGCGTACGGGATAGTTGGAGTGCTCATATTTTTTTTAACCATCTACCGCACTTGATCTCTATTTTGGCACGCTTTAATTTTTCTACTCCGCAAAATTGTTTCACTTGACATACACTACACCGGGCACTGATGTCATGTTATGAATTAAGATTGTTCACAATAGTTAGGTGCTCTAATATTTCAATATTATATCTATTAATTCATTATTATTAAAGTAGGTATATAAAGGTCTTATTTATTAGAGCTGTGTATGTTTCTATTCCATACAATGGAATGGTTATATACACAGACATATGTATGGTACTTTTCATGGTATCAGCGTAGGTATACCATGGAGAGTACACCAAGGCTATAGGGAAGAGACAGTTACTTAGACTGCATTACTATGATTGTTACTTTATTTAACTAAACACGATCTATGAAATTTATGAAAATTTTTAATATGTAATAGACACCTATCTATGTACTTATTTTAACAGATAAATTGCAATACATGTGGTTTTATAAAACAATAGTTCTAACAAACCGCTACCATGAATATTAAATATAATTTGCTCAATAGCCATAATATTGTTATCGATCCAGATGAAATACAAATAATATTTTAACACAAGTAATTTTTGATCAAAACGTAAAATTAATATAAATCTTATATATTACTGGCATGTATCAACATTGTCACCATCTCCTAGTCTACTTATTTCTGGGAATGCTTTGCGTGACACTTTTTTGTATATTGATTACAACTCGTTTTTATAGTTAAGTAATGAAAATACAATAAATAGAGAAGTTGAAGTGGCCTCTAAATATAAGCAACAGTTATTGCCTCTTATTATTTGATAAAAAATAAGTTGTGTAGCTCAAACAATCGACAACCGATGTTGATTGCGACCCAGTATCAGCAAACGCAGTATAGGGTGACTACCTACTAGGTAAGCGATGACCTCAAGTGTGTTGCAGAAAGTCATCACATACATCGAGGTAGTTATTTCTTGTGACATTCAATGGGGGACACATATATTCAATATCCAATGGATAAATAATGTAATGGTAGCATCAATTAAGGAAGTAAGTCCTAAAGATCGTGACAAAATCGACCCAAGTCATAACTAGACAATAAATAAAACGTTTAGTTCTAATCTTTTCACGTGTACGTATGTGTTTTAAATAGGAATTTTGGTGACTTATAATTTAGTTAATTTTAATATAGAAGAGATCACTTAAACATTCACTTTTCAAGTCATTTGCTCCAACAGCGGAGCTATATGAGGGTACTTTCATGCAAAGTACTCTGGTTTATGATTCGAATCGTAGTCAGATTCCTCCATCTTGTACATTTGGATGAGCTGAAATGGATATAATAAACTTGATTAAAACTGTGTATTAATTTAATTAATGTAAAACAAAGTCACAAAGTCGCTATCCTTAGATTGCATAGAGCGATTATCGAAAACGTATCAATATTAAAACTAACTAATATTTGGCTAACAATTTTTTTTTAAATGAAACTTTTATATAAGTAAAATAGAGCTAGATGGCTCAGGACCGTTCTTTACAGTAGTCTATATGGGAAGCCTGTATTCAGCAGTGGACGGATATTAGTTGAAATGATGAAGATGATAAGCAAATAATAAATATATATCTATTATATTTATTATTTGTTTATCATCTTCATTTGTAGTTTAGTCTAAATTGGTCCTCCGCTAGATGGAGTGATGGTATCAAAAATGTGCAGGGACTCACTAAATATAAGTAGCGCAGGACCATCTTTGTGGCGAAATAAGAAGAGACCTATGTGCTACAGTGGACTATGGATGGTTTGTAATTTATGAATTAATTGGAAATAAATAGAAAATTTCTATAGTAACCTGCACCCGTACGAAGACGGGTCGTGTCGCTAGTATTATATAAAAACTAGCCGTACCTGCAACGTTGTCCATTTTTTATAACAATAATATTTATGCGATCCTTTTTATAAACATGTTAGTTAAATTAAAAAAACCTAATTTTTTATATTAAATATAGAACTAGGCTATAAGTGTGATTATATATGCTATAATTATTATTATACATACAGTGTCTATATCCTTTGATAAATCATCCATTTGCTTTTCATGGGTGGCCTTCAGCTTTTCCTTCTCGCGATTCTGTTTGATGGTTTGAGTCTGAAAGAGCATATTTATTTTAAAGACTTCTATATATATATATATATATATATATATATATATATATATATATATATATATATATATATATATTATAACTACTTAGAATGGCAAACAAGCTGACGGTCCACCGGATGGAAAGTGGTAACTGTCGCCTATAGACATGAGCAGTACCATGGACATAACAGAGTATACTGTTTCGCATATATATCTGTATATTTAATACTTATAATTTTTGTAAATATATTTTACAGTTATAAAAGTTATTTTTTTTAATGAATTACTCGGAAAAAGAAAACAAAGTTTTACATTAATAGACATACAATACAAAGTAATATGTTTGTTGTATGGACTTTTTCTGCCTAGATAGTCATTTAAAAAAGTTTTTCCGTTAATTAATTATGTATTGTCTTATACTATTTTATTACATTATTTATTAGTGATCAATTTAGAAAAAAAAATTGTTAAAGTTTGTTTACTAGATATGTCAAGTATCAAAAAATAAATATTTATAGCTATGAACCCAATTAATCATTTAAAAAAAAAAAAGTTTAAAATACACACGAACAAGTATTGTATGAAATTCCCAACCTTACGCTCGTCCATAAATTTCTTAGTGTTATTTTGTTTCTTCTCACGTAATCGTCTATCTTTCTCTTGTTTAGTCTTCAAAGTTTTATCATTGGCCACTTCTTTGCTAGTTTCTATGCTGATCTTTGTTTGGCGTGCAGTCATCTCCTTCAATTCCCTAGGATATAAAAAACAAGTTAATACTTTGTAAAATTTAATTCAGAAAAAAACAGCTCTTTCAATTGTGACAAAATTAATATGGAACCAAACGAACGAAAAAGCGAACTGAGAACTAAAGCCTTCTTGCTTGTTTATTGAAATTAGACAACTACTTCATGTTGCTGGAAGAGAACTCATGCAAAGTTATGCTCGCCTTTGTAGATTTGCCTTCGACTGTTATATTTTTGTATGTATTATAACTGTGTATAATAAACAATAAATAATAAAACAAACTGCTAGCCTATCTGTTGTAAAGATGAAGAATAATATCATCACAATTTCATCCTCACCTATCATACTTCACTGGTGCCCCGTCATCGTATACTGACAGCGCAAGCGAGGTTACCACTTCATTATCATCTATATAAAGACAAGAGAAGCGGCGTACCTTTCGTGTTTCCCTTCTAGCTGCTTCAATTGCGCCTGCTGCGTCTGCTCCATCATCTTCTTGAGGAGTTCCCGCTGCTCGTTCAGGCGGCTCCTGGCGGTGCTCCACTCCTCCATGCGGTGTTTGGTAATGAGCTCTTTCCAAGCGGCTGATTGCTCATTGACAAGCTTGCGTAGCGTTTCGTCGTTGCTCAACTGATCTTTGCTGGTAAAGGTTGGAATTAAAGAATAATATGATAATGTATTTAAAATACCCAAAATGTATGTAGTCTGCTATATGTTTAGATATATTTATCAGACAATATAATTCGTAATAACGTAGCGTGAATATTAACCATTTAATACGTATTATATTGAGCAGGCATAGTGCGGCCAATCGTTGAGAAAAGAACAATTACATTTCGATTGATTCCATCCATATTACAAAATCACATTATCATCTCAGCCCTTAACTGTCCACTGTTGAACATAAGCCTTCCTCATAAGGGGAGTTTTGCCAGTTGTTTTCACGCTTGGCAGGTGGGTTGGTAACTGCAATTCAGCTTTTAATGATGTTTTAAGAAAGACGAAGCCGCCCATCTCTATCATTTAGTTCCCTTAATCGTCTTTTATGACACCCATGGGAAAGGATAGCGTAGCCTGCTCTATACCGCCCGGCAACATGTCCACATGTCGTGCTATTATAAGAAAAAGAATTAAAATACAAGCGTGACGCTTATTTTTATTTAGTATGTGATAGAGTATTATGTTCCGGCATTATGCAAAAGTCACCAAATTGGATGCAGTTTTCACAGTTGTGTTCTTGTAGGTCTAATTTATTTAGAATCTAGAAGGGATCTTGATATTTTTTTTTATTCAACTTAGAATGGCAAGCAAGCTGACGTCTACCTGATAGAAAGTGGTAACCGTCGCCTATAGACATGAGCAGCACCATGGACATAACAGAGTATACTGTTTCACCCATGATACCCCCATGCGTTGCCATTCCTAAGGACTCGGATGTTATTCCTCTTTACCCTGTAAATTCACGCCATATCCCACCCTTCAAACCGAAACACAGCCATGCAAATACAACTGCTTTACGGTTGAAACACGAATGGGACAGAGGTACCCAAACAATCGAGTTTTGTACAAAGTCTCCTTCATTATTATTCAGTATTATATATATTTAATAATATAGAAACCTTTTGCCTTTGATGATTTTCTCAAGTGCGGTACACTGTTGCTTCTGCAAGGCAACCTTCTCTTTGGCTTGCCGTTTCTTCATCGTTTCTTGTTCCTTCTGTTGTTTACGGCTGATCTTGACAAAGCCTTTATCTTGTCGGAGCGATTCCACTGTAATTGGCTCGAAAACGAGAGGAGGCTCTGTAAACGAAATTATAACGGAAATTATGAGTATAAAGAAATTAAATATTCTCACGACTGTAATACGCAATGGGATAGTCAATGGCATTGTCAACTGTTTGCCATTGTGGTGAATGTACTGAAAATAACAGGTCGAAGAATTGTTAAAAACAAAGACTTGCAGAAAGTCCCATTGCTAGCAATATATTTTATCAAGTCGATCTCCACGCGGTCCCCTCTGGACACCATTTTGGTTAATTCTTGATGAATTCTCCTGACCTGTTTTGATTCACATCTATTATCACTTACTGGCGCCCTGTTAATGTATACCGAAAGAGATGATGAAGGATACTTCCAGTATCACATTTTAATAAGATAAATTTACCAAAAATTGAAAAAATAAACCGCGATACAACTCTATAAATTATTATTATTATTTAACACCTACTCATTGAGATCATTTTAATGAGCCTAAACACGCTATATGTGCTGTAAGTAACCGAGGAGTTGGATATCTTGTAAAGTACTTGATGTTGGAGCAGCAGGTTCAGAGTACCATGTCATGAAAATTGACGCAATTTCCTAATATCTCGGACTTGTGGAAATGAGTGTAGTCTCTTTGTCAAATTATAAATTATAGCTAATAACCGTTTCGATCTCATCAGATTTTAAACAAAAAACGCATCTAAATCAGTTCATCAATTTGGAAGCTATGATATCACTATCACAGACAGACTTGTTAAACTAAAAACACCCCTCTTTTTGAGTCGATGGTAACAAAATTAAAAGGAAAAAAGTAAGTTTTTTGGGGCTATGTTCAGCTTACACAGAAGGATTTTTAAGAGAGGTGTTAATATAGAAATAATGTACCATTTAAAAATATAATGCAAGGCTAACAACATAAAGAAAAGGCGTATGTACCTGTAATATGATAGGTACCAATTAAGAGGCACGCTCATAAAGAAAAAGGCGTGGATATTAAAATGTAAACATTCTAAAAAAAATATATTTTTGAATATGGACGAGTCAAGCTCAAATCTATAAATCACCTAATGTCTCAAAGTTCCTTGTGAGTTGTGACGTTGTTGTTTTTAAATTAGGTTATAGATACAAGTTTTGATATAAAACTATTTTTATCAGTTAATAAATATTGGAATATTATAAATAAAATATAAAGTCTGACCTTTTAAGATTTTTTTTCGGCTTATCATAATAGCGATATTTATTAAAACTATCTCAAATCACAACTTAAAATTAAATAAACACTGATATAACTAATATTTATTGTACAATTTATAAATCTAATTAAAAGTCTTATATATTAATACTGCATTTTCCATTCTTTACAAAAAAATAAAGCTTTTGTAACTAAAGAAACTTCAGCTAACTTCAGAGCGATAACTGCACGAGCATACTCCCAGAAAATGTTGTTTTAACGGCGTACGTATGTAAACATACGAATTCTAAATGAGTAATATTCACTATGAGGGTACAAGTGAAAAACTTATCATCTACTAAGGACAAAGAAAATAAATCGGTTCCTATACATGTAGGTAATGTCTACATCTACGTATCTTATACACTTTAAACAATAATGGAATGGTAACCCCGCCTACTGCCATGAACATACCAGCGACAACCAGTAAGGGATGATTGGTAAGGATGAAAAGCAGGTCAGTTAGCCTAACTAACGAATTTCACAAGTGGAAGTAAAAGGGAACAGCGTGGAGATCGACCTGATAGGGTATATTGACAGCAATGGGGACTAACCTGCCCATTACTAACAATCACTTGCCCCAAAACATATATGTCAAACTTCTTATAAACTTATTTAAGTAATTGAACTATTATTATATTTAGGAATTCATGGCAACATTTTTACTAGAATTAATAAGTGAATTATAAATTTTATTAATCCTGATTGTCTTTTTTGATTCAGCAATGGCAAACAAGCAGACTTTCCATTGATGGAAAGTCATAACTGTCGCCTATACACATGAACCATGTATGTCAGACATAACAGAGTATTTAAGTAATTGAACTGTTATTATATTTGCACATGAACTTTTGCTTACTTAGAATAAATATAAATTATATTGCAATATTTTATTAACAGAATCACTATGACAAACTGGTTATGAATAGGATTTCCCTAATTAACATTTTTAACGAAGAAATACGATTATTGCCCAAGAATTTCTTGAGTCCGCTAATGGTTCGTCACTTAACCCATACATAATTATTGCATGTATTGATGCTTAAAATATCCACTCCTGTCGAATTTGCGCATTCGTTAGCCACTTTATACTTTCGGCGTAAACCTACGTCATTTATGATTTCATCAACTATTTACAGTATGTTATTAGCATTGATAGATAATATTCAAGATTCACATTTCTCTAAAAAGGTTACATCAGATATAAAATGTTCTTGAATTAGACCTTATTTACTAATATAATAACTCCCTTATTTATAAAAACTAAAACCTTGTACAAACCTATATTAATTATTACGTTCCTTTGTCACTTTCTTTCAAATTGAGAATTTAACACAGCAGAAATAGACAAAACAGTTCAAAAGCTTAAATGCTTAGGTTTATAAGACGTTTGACGTTTTTATGAATAAGGGGATTAAACTATAACTACGATGTCATGTACATAGGACATATTGACGTAAGAGGTCTTAAAGACCAATTTTTAGGTATTTTAAAAGGTCTAAGATTAATAAAAATATATTTTTTTATTTTATAAATTATGTCTGTTTATCCGTTTTTTGTTCTGGCATCACGTGATGCATTGCATGAGATTTTCACAGTTGTGTTATTCAAATCTAACTTAAAAATTGGTATATGTTTTATCTAGTCTATTTTAATGAATTTCCTACTTTTGAAATCTATACGTACGAAATACCGGACAAAAAGCCAGTTAAAATATAAAAAAAGTCGAGCCGTTTATGCGAAAAAAAAAAATAACAAATAAATAAACAAGCTCATGTTCAAAGTTATAATATTAGTAATGATATTGGTTTAAATAAATAAGCTTTACTCTAATGGCTTCCATGTACTTCTATGAAATAAGTGGACAATGAAAAGTAGAGAAAATATGGTGAAATTTTCCAGATATCATAACATTTTCACGCAAACAATATTTGTAACGAGATTTAATACTATTACGTCTACTAACGTAAGCTGACGTGAATTGTATACTATTTAGTATTCGTCATCATTACAGAATCTTATTGTACTTTGTCAATCTTTGTAAATGTTTGTAATACTTTTTAAATTGTAAATTAGTACTAATAACTTAATTAAAATTATTATTACTTATTTCAGTAATCGTGATTAATATGTAGACCAGCAAAAATAGTTTTCAATTGGTAATTTAATTTTCACAGAATATAAAAAAATGACCACCTATTCAAATATGCTTGAATTTAAGTCTAATAAAAAATATTCTTATTCTTCTTAAGATTTGGAAGAATAAAAATTATGAAATTAATACTGACCTTCTTTCTTCTCTTCAATCTGCACTTTCTTTTCCGGTCCACTTTCTTCGATGCCCATCTGTTTCATATTGTCTGTTCGTTCCTTAGCCGCGCCCATGAAAGCGCGAGGGTCAGACAGCGCCGCCATAAAGTCTACGAAAAATAATGTTATAATTATGTTAGGTTTAAATAATTACTTTAATATCATTTATGGTATTAGAAATAGTAAAATAGTTGACGGCCAACAGCTTAATAAAAATTGATTGTCCTATATAGAGATATGAAAATGAAGCATGCAACTTATCAAAGATAAGTACTATTTATTTGCTTTGTAGTATTGTATCGCCAAGCGTGGCAACTACTGGCAAAACCCCTCTAAGGGGGAGGCTTGTGTTCAACAGGCTGATATGATGATGATTATTGTATCGCTATGGTATCTTTCAGGGTTTATCACTCCTGAGGTCCACAGATCAGGACTTAGCCTATGTAGTGTCCTTAGACAAATTATTTTTTGGACAGCTTTAAAAAAATAAGGCTATTTTTTTTGGAGGCCCAAGGGCACCGATACAGGGCCGGGTCATACGACTCTTTATGCATTGCTCACAGCTGTCATTGAAACTCCGGTACTTCTAGGCGCAGTTTAACTACATTCTCTCCCCGCCTGGTACTGTGCATAAGTAGACCATATAGTAGAATCACCTTCAAAGCCATCAGGAACGTAGATCTTGAGCTCAATATTACAGAACAGCATAGGCAGTGACATTGGGAAGTTAGCTTCAGTTCGGAGCGAGATGTGCCGGTAACCAGCCTGTAGACCATCAAGCGGCAGGATACGCTGTCCTAATAGTTTCCCGTTCTCGTCATACACACCAAAGCGGAGGACAGCCAGATCTGGTAATACAACCTAGTGGGGACACAATATATGTTTTAATCAAAATTTCCACTGCACTCTTGAACATGGGTCTCTTTCTATAAGAAGAGGAAAGGTATATATTTCGAGTTTTCTTTGTTTTATTATTGTATTAGCCTCTTAATTCTTTATCTTTTAATATGGAACATTAAGTAGTCGATTTCAATCCTATTTACTTTCAAAATTACTGGAGGACATCAGTTTATTATACTTTTCTGCTACATGAACTTTACCATATAAGTAAAATATGTATGATATCATGCACAAAATATGAGTGGTATAGTCAATAGTTGTGATGTGGTACAATATATAATACGTAACTGAATGTAAACAGTAGTTCTATATAAGGAACCCTTCTAAATAAAGTAAATCTTAAGACATCAACATAAAGTTCAGTTTTATTTGGTTTCGTGTGGATCTGTATTACACTCTCTAGAAGTGAGGAGAAATACCCAAAACATACCTTTCGGAACAAAAACGGCTCTTCATTATATACTGGATTGAGTCCATTGGCAGGCACCATGCGTGTACGGAACTCCTTACGGATCGTGTCTGAGGGCAGCCCGTACATGTCCACTTCTACGTATGTGCCAATCTTTTTATCTGATAAGAACTGCCCTGCTATAACCTAGTGGAATATAATTGATTTATTTGTAAGGATCATCAGATTAATAAATATACAATTTTATCAACTTACGTCTAATCAGAAAGCCAAGTTTTTTTTAATGGATGATAATGAAATGGTAACTCCTGTCTGCGCTATTTGTATACACTGGCGGGGCACCAGTGGTGAATGATTAGTGTGGATGAAAAGGCAGGTCAGTTAGACCATCGTGACGAATTCAACGATAAATTAACCACGATGGTTTCCATGGGAAACCGCGTGGAGGTCGACCTGACAGGGTATATTTATAGCAATGGGGATGAACTTTCCCATTACTAACAATCCCTTCCCTCTCCTCCAGGAAGTCAGGTTGCTTTGTATCAATGTAGTTTATGGTTTTAATATGAATTGGATCAATATGGAAAAAAATAATTTCTAGGTTGGGCTATTAAGATAATGAAATTCCATACTTTTAGTATAAATTATTAAAAACAGACATTAGCGGGTCTATTCTTGATAATAGACAGGCCGACCTCATCTTGATCTTCGTGAAAAAGTATCGTGGTCAATCATCACCATCATCATGGTTTTTGGTGATTTCGTGATGATGAGCTAATAACTTAACGAAAACTTCATTTATTGCACATTTTTTATATATTAAAATATTTAAAAAAACTAAGGTAGCGAACCTGAACAGAACATTGAGCAGCGATTACACCGTCCACTGGTGCATCTGCGAAAGGATCGAAACTGCGGTCAGCTCGCCTCATGAAGTCAGGCTTCAACAGGTACCCGCAGTTGCCGTTATATTCAAATTTGCCCTGGTTGAGTTGCATTGGAAGATCTGACGTTTGGAAGTTGAGAGATACCATTTGGCAGCCAGCGTTCCAGAAAACCTAATGCAAAAGATGTTTTTATTTCTTAATTAAATTCAAAGGTTCTATTAGGTAAATGTAATTCGAGTACTAACATTAAGTTTTTTTTTTATTGTAATTATGGGGCTAAGATCGGAATAGATGTAAATGCCATTTAAATGTAAAGTGATTGTTTCGAGATGTTTATTTTATTATGACAGGGGTCTTCATGGACAACAACAACAACAGGACTTCTCATTGCCCACCAGATGGTGTGGGGGGCGAGGTAGGGGCCTTGGGGCGTGCCCCACTACCCCGGCTTCAACTCCGGAGACAACAACCTCCGGGTCGCTGGATTTGCAGCCGACATACACTGCTGGTCTGTGTATGTCGGTGTGGCGTCTCTTCATATACAACAAAGGCGACTAAAAACTCTTGACACCAGATGGCGCTACTCTCACACTAGCATTTTATAAAAACTCTTTTATGTAAGACTTATGCTATGTAGGTTTTTATAAGATTTGTAAATGTTATCTATAGGTTTCTATCACCGTACCTGTGGCATGTAATTGGAAGAGTCAGCGCGCGTTCCTTTCGGGTAGATTCTTGACATCTGCCGCTTGTTGTAGTTTACAAAGTCTATGGCTTGGGTCTTTAGATAGTTCATGCCGGTTGTTTCCGCGAAGGAGGACATGTTGTGGTAAATGTTGCGCTCTGGTAGAAAGAAAAATGAAATTAATGTAATAATATTATAACTAGACGTTATTTTTCAATCGAACCATTTTTAGAAATTTTATCTGTCTAACTGAAGGTCTAATTTGAAAACTGGTGTATAACTACGCTATTTGGAAGTAGTATATTTTATTGCTTACTAAGTGGCAATTAAAATTCATGGCCGTTTATCCTGCTTAGGTTATAAGTTATTTTTATTTTATTTTTGTGCTGATTTTTGGGGCGTCTAATACTTTTAATATTCTATTACCGCTTTCCATAGCTAATTGATGTGAAGAAGGAATTTTAGAAAACTTTGCCCCAATACAGGAGTAGAAATATGAACATAGTTTATTGGTTTTCTAACTTAAAGATATAAGAACGAGTATGATAGACGATAAGACTTACTGTCTGCTTCCTCGAATCCCTGGAACTTGATAGGTTGCGCGTAGTTGACCATGGAGGATAACCATGGGTGTACGTTGGTAGTGGAGCCCGTGTATGCCACAGGAGGAGGGGCATCGTCGCCTGCTACAGCCGCTTCCGCTACTATTTCTTCGGGCTGCGGTATAACAACAAACCAGTAGGTAAACTCTACTATTTTTACAGCATTTGGATGGGCAAATAATGTGTCGGTCCATCTGGTGCGAACTGATAACTGTCGTCTATAGATTACATTAAAACTATTAAATATAGAAGTCTTATAAATTTGTATTCATCATCATCATCATAACAGCTTTTAACTGTTCACCATTGAACATAAGCCTCCCCTAGTTTTGTTAGTAGTTTCCACGCTTGGCAACCGCAGTTAGGCTATGGATGTGTTTTAAGAGGGACGCTGCTGCCCATTTCTCGCTCTCCCTTAGACGCCTCTTACGACACCCACGGAAGGGGTGGCCTATTTTGTACCGGAATCACACGGGAATCTTTTATTACTATTATTTTACTTTTAAATAGTAGCAGCAGTTATATAAGAAAAACCATCGAAAATTACTCATTAATTGATTTTAACGACGTTTAACCTGTGTCTTCATATTTATTAATTATCTAGACTGTAAGTAATCCAATTTTCGATAATTATATATGGTAGCTTCTAATTAGCTTATTGTTGTCATGTACAGTTAATTATTAAGTTATTACAGCTGTAAGATTCCTTAAAATAATAAATAAATATTTAATTTTTATATATACATTTGTATTATTAGTTTATAATAAATAATTATTGTTCAAAATGAACAGCATCATGTACATCACAGAAGTACATTTTGATGCTGATGATTACTTGCATTTCAAAAAACTAAGGCATTGTTTCCGTAGCAAAAAAATAACTATGCAAGCATAGTTGCACAATGCCAGAAACACGAGGTGGATAGAGGTATACATGCAGACGATTGTACGACATTTTGTACCCTCTTTAATAGTTCTTAACACTAACCTTTTTATCTGGTATAGCGACAGCCGATGCATCTTCTTTCTCTTCTTCCTCTATTACGAATTGGCCCTGACGAAATAATTCTAATTCTTGCTTCTCCACTTCGGGTTTCAGTCGCTTATTCTTAATTAGAATCTTTCGTTTTAAAGCAGACGGCGGTGGAAGAGGAACGCCTGGTTCCAGCTGGAAATAGAAAAGCAATACATCAAATACAATAGAATACTAACAATACCATATAAAAATTAAATGTAATGTAAGAAGAAGAAAAACTATATCTAAATAGTAATAGTTAAAAAACAACTTTACACCCAAAATGGGAGTATATTTTTATGATTTCAAACAGGACCTATTGTTAATATTGTTTTTTAATTGCGTATGATATCGCTTTATTATTAAATATTTAAAAACTACTGTTACAGATAATGTAGCAACTGTATATTACTTTAATTGATGCAATTATTCTATCTTTGAAATACAATATACAGTCGATCTTTTCATCTTTGTATAAGTAACATGAAGTACCTAATATATATGAGTAGGGGGGAAAGGGATTGTTAGTAATGGAGACTGAGAAACCCATTGCTAGCAATATACCCAACTAGGTCGACCTCCTCGCGGTTCCCCCTGGAAACTATCATGGTTTATTCCTGATGAATTCATCATGATGGGCTAACTGGCCTGTTTTCATTCTCATCTATCACCCTTCACTGGTGCTCCGCCAGCGTATCCCGTTAGCGCAGGCGGGGCTACCATACTATTTTCACCCATAAATATATATATATATGAGTAAATTAGGTACTATTAGATTATACCTTTAATTAAAATAGAAACTCAAGGAAGGTGCTGTTGATTAGAACAATTTCACAAATTGGGAAAATCAAATACTCACCGGATACTCCGAGAGTGATTCCTTCAGCAACAAATCACCAAGGATCTCGTCGCAGTACTTCGCCAGCTTGTACTGTTGGGCCTTGCAACAGTGGTTTTCGAACGACAAAATTACGGGATAGTCTGATGTTACAAATGCCGTATCACGTAGAGCGTATATGACATCCTTAAATAGAATATCAGTACACATGGCCATTCCGTGGGTGATGATCGGTTCTTCATCTTCACCTTTTCCGTCCCAGCAGTCGAGTTCTACGCATCTGTGTGGGATAGGAATAGGAATTGATGGTTATACAGTATGGATTTACGGAAGAGTTTTATGAATATGAGGAAAATTAATTTCCCGTTAGATAACCGGGTATCGTTAAACAGACTTTTTCTCATTGTCTAATTATTTGATTTGGTTATCTAATATAAGGAAAAAGTCAATAAGATAACAAAAATTTAAAATAATTTAATAATAATTTAGAATTGTACAGATAAAATATATTTTCCATTCTAAGTATTATAAAAAAGAAAAAAAAATCTCTTGAGAAGAGTGAATAACAGTACATTATTGTAAAACTTTTTATTACCACCAATTTAGAGACTTGAGAGTGCAATTTTTTTATATATCTATTTTGTCAACGTGAATTATAAATCTAAGATGTAGTCTATCAGTCTATAAAATACATTATACATTAATAACAATGCTATAATTTACACATAAAACTTTCAATTCGTTAAGTATTAAAACGATTTCAGCTTCACTTCTACGAAAGTTGAAATAGCCCTATATTCATTTCAGTATCTTTGATTTCTTGGCAATTAACCTAGTTAGCTCGTTTTAATTACAGTTGATTATTATATCACAAGTTTCAACCGGTCCCGGGATTACGGCAAGCAGCCGCGAAGTTTCAAACGATGGATTATTAATTGCTACGGTAAGTACTTGGGGAGTTTGGACGTTTACTTTGTGTTTATTGAACTGATTTGACATCTATGCCATTTTGCAGAAGTTTAGAGTTTGTTAACTGCGCAGTGTTCATCAAAAATTCATCAGACACGTTCATTTTTAAATTCTACCTTTCCTTTTTTTTATTAAATGGTAGTAATAATAATTTATTGTTTTATATAGGTACTTGCGAAATAGACATTTGTATAGGTATTTGTCATGTTCTATCATAAAAGCAAGTAGCTTTATGCACTTAATAAGATTTCAGGTTCAATTCTCAACTGGGTCACTTTTTGAATAAATTTTCCTATATTGGATTTGGAGTTGACTGAGTCCCCAGATGCTTTTTGTTGTTTTAACACAGCAGTAAAGCGTCTCATTATTTGATTAACATAATTTTTAATTTTAATTTAACTTAGTTTATTTTAATGTGATCATGCAATGTATCATCTTCCTACCCTTATCCCAATTATTATTTGGAGTCAGCTTAATATGTTTTTATCCACATTACAAAAGGATTTGGCTTTTAGTTTTACGACCGGCCGCTTGCCTGACGTCAACCCTCTTTGTGATAAGAACTGTACGAATTTGGAACATAAAGCCGAATGGGGCGTTACAGGTTAATTCTCGATTAGCATATAAGAAAAATTGTCGGACAAAGGACTTACCTACATCCAGCCAATAACACTTGTCGGTACATTTCAACTGAGCTCTTTCCACCAAATTGTCTTCCTGACAAATAGGTGTTATGCGACGAATTGATATAATAGTGAGCTAGAGGTTGATCCATGTCCATGTAATTATCGAGCCGGTCCAGAAACACGGGGGCGTTTTCGTCAGACATGAGATATCGGATCAACCCGTCTTTTGTGAGGCATTCTTGAAAAGACAAAAAGTAACAAGGTAAATATTGAAAAACATATATCAATTACTTTTGCTTATAATTTTGACAAAAATATTTGACAAAATTTGTAATATTTTTTTTATATCGTGCCTCATTGTAGAAGCCTTCAATAAGCCAAAGTATCATACCTCAATTATTCAGTTTAATTCATATTATAACTTACTTGCATTTCTAGCCTCCTCATTTTGTTCGTATGTGTTAATGATCTCGGCGGCTCTCTTCTCGTCATACAGTGGATAGAGGATTTCATTCAATCGAGGGTCTCTCTGTTTTTCATTTAAGAAATTGACAAATTGGTCCAGGTTGATTCGATCTGACTTACCCTGAGTGCTGTAATTATAAGAAATGGACAAATGTCTTTTAAATACATATAAAGGCAGATTTTTAGAAATTTTAAGTGTATATGAATGCGATTTTTGATTAAATTAGATGAAAATTAAAGGTGTGTTTAAATGGCCCAGGTGGGCAATGTCTATCCCAAAATTATGTGGTGCCCACTCCCCATCTGGAAAGTAATCTTAAATAAACCTATGGTGATAATGTACATATACTAATTATGAAATTTAAATACTATTTATGGAAATACAAGTTAGTATAAATTTTTCATTACTTACATGGATCTAAACAATTCTTCTATATCATTTCTCGGACAAATCTTATGGTATAAAGCGTAAAATTTGTCAAATGTGAACGCTTCTTTCTCCATTACATCGTTTTTTCCTGACGGTAGACCAAGCTCGGATAGACATTGATAGACTAATTTCTCGGTTTTGCCTGAGGCGAATGTTCTCGCTACTACTTTCACGGGCACCTTCCCTCGAGGATCAGTCAGGAAACAGAGTCGCATCCAACTGAGAAGTAAAAGTTAATTATTTTATTTAATCTCTACGTGATGACAGAGTAAGAATGTGTGACCACGCCTATCCATTCCCTGAGTATACATATGAGTATAGTACAAAGTAATTAGTGGTACAAAACACAAAACAGTGGTACAAGAGAAGTAATACTCGAAATGAAACACTATATTAGGCTATTTTCTTTCCGGTATGGGGGAGACTCGTGCCCAAATGTGGCAAAAAACGATAGTAGGTTAAAGATAATTATGATGATGTCTATCTTAATTATTGTGAAGGAAATTTTTTATACGCCGTATATGACTTGTGTAGATAATCACCAAAAATCTATATTTATAAGTACGAATAAGAAATAAACATGTTATTTGTCCTCTATTCTTTAATAAACATCGGATGTTCAGAAATGGAAAAAATCATGGATATAAAATTACAAATTACAAACATAAAAGTTTAAAATGCTGCAGTTCCAAGTGTTTACAGGGATTGCAGCATCGTATAGTCAAGGGAGAGAATATCCACCTAGAAGTTTAAATTGAACAAAGTTTGTCAGTTTTGGAAAAATAACTCGTGCGTCGTTTGAAACGAGTTTTGAGATTGGTATTATATTTACGTGTAAATGTTTATGACTATTTTTAATCACAATATTATCTGTGGTAAATAATACTAATAATTTAAAAATGATTTAAAAAATCGTGTTGTTTGTGTGTTTGTCGATTTGTCTATTAATCTATTTGTATTTTAATGTTTACATGTTTAAACGATAGGATTGACTGTGATAATATAGGTATAGGGTATAGAAAATGTAAAAAAAATATCTCCTAATGAGGTTAAAACTGTATTTTTCAAAGATATTTGTTTTTAAGTAATACACTAAATAAAAATCTATAAAAATAATGTACAAAGTTAAGGTAACATATAGGCAGGACACACACACGAATGAAGCTGCGGCATAGTGACAGATTAGCTGAACTTTTTCGTAATTTAAGGCACAAACTGTCTACTCTCAGGGGAGCCAGGTAAAAGGTAAAACTAATATCCAATAATTCCGGTTGAAGGCTCTGTCAAAGGATATTACGGTAGTATAATGTATTTATAGCCCTATGTCGGGCAAACACACTGTATATTGCAGGGTGAACTATAAACTCAACTAAACTGGGGCACGCTGTACACATTGCTGCTGCTAGATTAAAGCAGTATCTAGAGGGTGTGGTGAAAACTGCAAACATCACTGTAGTTAATTACGTGCCTTTGAAGCGAAAATCGAGAAAAATGAATTCAGGAAATTTTGTTAGCAGACTCCTATTTCTAGGGAGAACTAAGTGGGTGCGAAATCAGTATTAGTATTTAGTCAGGCCGCCATTTTTATTTAATACTGCCTTACTTTCTGGTAATTATTGGTTTATTACTCGTAAAAAGAATTATACTAGTATTTACGAGCATGTTTTTCATCGCCCTGAGCATTTTTAAGTCTATTTATCATTTAACTAATAATAGTACAAGCTCTGCCTAGTTTGGGACTGAGTAGCGCTGTGTAATATGTCTAGGATTTTTATTTATTGACTAAGATACGAGTGTAATAATTTTGACGTGAATAGAAATTATACAATGAAAACGAATTGAATGACAGCGACTATTTTTGTTATTTTTTTAAATGTATACTTTCTTATACTGTATATAAACAAGTTATAAGAAATAATGGATGGATGAATGAATGGAGGGAGATGCAATAAATAGACAAAGGAATAAAATTGTAAGGGAAAAAAGATGTGTCTAATGACTACACTTAATGACCAGTTAACTTTACAAAATTTTAATTATAAGATTGAATTGTTGTAATAGGAGTATTTTTTAAGTAATATAAATAAAAAAAGGAAATTTAATTTATTGTTATTTTCAATTAAAATCATAGACAATTATCAACTAAATAATTCAGAAAACCAAGTCGGTACCTAGAGTTCATTTTATTAAATAAATACTAATACTATATAAACAATGTCAGCTATATGTATATGTATATAGAAGAACAATTCACGCTTTTGCCTAAAGAGAAAAATAAAATCAAAGTCGACATTGTGAATTAATTAAAATAAAAGCACATTGTTCGCTCTCAGAAAAATGAAACACAAAGAAAAATCGATGGCTATTATTTCATTACAAAGCAAAAAGCTCTCAATCAATTAAAAGTTCTTTTTTTAATAAATGTAGATAAACATTGAGCGAAGCCCACGACTTCGTGGTATTTGTTCCTTTGGGATAACGATAACGTAAACAGTAATTATTCGTCTTTTTTGTGAAAATAGAATAATAAGCAAGATTGGTGAAGATGAAACAGGTGCGTTAGCTAATTGTGACGAATTTCACAAATTTTAACTAAGATGGTTTCAAGGACCACGTGGACGTCAACCTAATAGTGTATGTTGCTAACAATGCAGCTGTTAGATTCTCATTACTAATAATCCTTTACCCTCCTATTACTTATATTAAGAGTTTTCTCTCACAAAGGCCTCTATCGCAATCTACGTGTGACAGCTTTACGCGTCTTTCAAAGTACGAAGCAAGCGATAATCATTTTTAAAGTATCCAAAGATGAATTTTAAATATCAGTGATTTATGCTTGGATGCGATTATCTATAACTTACTCTGTAGTCAAGCCTCTCTGTCCAATTGAGTTGTCACGGCTATGAATGGTCTATTATATTATTTGCATTTTATTAACCGACTTCAAAAAGGAGATTCTCAAGTTAGACTTTTCTGTGCTACGCGATATCTTCCACATTTATACATTGACTTTGATAATTCTTTTTACAATAAACTACTCTGTTTAATCCCATGTTAACCTGTGTAGTTAAATTTTGTTTAATAAAATTTGTTGCATTGTATACGTTTAAATATTGTAGCTTGTGTTCTAATGAGTTTTTGCAAGATAAGGGACTGTTGTATTTGTAAACAAATGAATCTTAATGTCTTAGTTTTTTTTTAATTCTAAATAAGTGTTTCTTAATTTGAATTTGAATTAAGAAAATGAATGTTTGTTAAACGCCTTTTCTTCATCCGCCTTTCATTTGCGATAGCATTGTAATTAAAATTATAAAGGTGGCGCAAATTTTCTTTTACAGTTTTCTTTAGTAAGTAATGTTAGCACAGAAAAAATAATTAGTTATAAATACATTTATTTAGCTGTAACATACACATAACGAACGCTCTTACATACACATATACTAGTATATACATTTATATCTACAAAGTAGTCGATAGTAAATTATAATTACTACGTACTGTTTCATTAAGTTGGTTCTTGGACAAACATTGTTGATTTTGTTGTTGTGAGTGATGGCACGGAGTCCCTCCTTCCATACCTTTGGCAAAAAGCAAATAAACAAAAAAAAAATAAACATGCATTAAAATACTAAATGACTTGCGCGTCTACTCTGATATTTCACTCTGACAACACCATTGTTTTGAGGAAAAACTTGAATATTACATCTGAAATTGTTGCCAGTATTTTATTGCAGTTATTTTATTATTTAAGTTGCATTGTAAAGCAAATTAAATTCTCGCAAGTACAAAGTTATGCGCAAGTCACTTGCAAAATAAAATAATAGAAACTGAAAATTGTAATAGCAAGCCATTTTATGCCTTATTGTGTTGTGTTAAAACCCAAACCTACTAACATCGACTACAGACACCAAATTAAGACTGGTACGCATGTGAAGCCATGCTCTGTAACATGCCGGGGACTTACTGTTTCTTTAAACAGGTCATGGGGCAAACGTTGTTAGCTTTTACATTGTGTGTAATCTTCCTTAGGCCTTCCAACCACACCTTTTGAAAGCGTTTAAAAATATTTAATAATTTTATTATTTAACATACAAGCGTAAAAACTTCTGAGAGAGAAAGAGAGACAATTATAAATTAATTTTAAACTTATTATTATTACTAGCAATTATTAAATCAATAATGAAAATTCAACATCGCGTTACGTTCCATTATTTAAGGTTGACGCAATATAATTTCTTTTTCCATTTATCCCTTACAAATGACGAACTATACTGACATTCTTTCTTCTTTCTTTTACACTTGTCATCTTTCACACATTTTATCACTCTTTGATTCTTCTCTTCTTTTCTTAAAATTCAATTGCTAATTAATTAATTTATTTTCATTTATTAAAAAAATGTTCTTAAAGCCTCCAACACGTCGAAGATCATATTATGTGTGTACACGTAATACAATATTGGAAGTAATTTAGTTTGCGTTTGTAGTAATTGTCTGGTTATGTAATGCATGTTAGTATTATAATAACTAACCTTAGCGGTGGCAGCATCTGGGCATACAACGTGCTGATAATTGATATTGATATAGTCAGTGCCACTGCATATTGTTAAGGATTTATCTTCTAAACTCTCTCCATGCTTGTTCTGAAGGCTGGAGCTTAATTTAGACTCCTGTAAGAAAAAAATTCACTACTTCGTAATAATCTTTAATTTTATTTATGTAGCCTTTTTATACATTATAAGTGTTTTAGCTCTAATACACATTGGCCGAGCTCACTTGACGAATGCACAAGGTGAATGTATACTGGGCCTTTTTGGGTATGTTTACCTTTAGAAACCTTTAGAAATTTAGTTTTTTATTACTCAATCAGACTAAAACTACTGAACGGATTTCAAAGAAATATGGCTCACAGACGGACGCAAATTGCAAACAGGTACCACACCCAGCACTAGCAGTACCTAGAATATTTTTATCAAATAATAAATATACTCACGACTATAATCTCTCTTGGGATTGTCAGATTCATTTGTTGTTTATGATTATTCTACATGCTCATATTTCGAGCATATTAGAATTCTAAGTGGCAGAGAGCGATCCCGCCGATGTCACACGGATTAATTTGTTTTGTTATCGGTATTTAATTACACTAGAGAGTTAGTCGGGAAATTTAAATTGACACACATAGAGTCAATAAATTGGAGTAGACCACTGGAATATGATTCTCACACATGATAAAAAAATAGGTAAAACTAAATATGCACAAACAAAATTGTGTATAAACATACAATATGGTTCACTTATTTAAATCTTTGATTTCACGTCTTGCGCTTCGTTTACATAACGAACAATCCTTCACAAATTTGTTCTGGGCCATTGGAGCATGGCGTTTTCATTTCATTGGCAACGATTCTGTTTCACATCAGGAAACATTATCAAAGGTTCGCAGGGGCACGTTACGCATAGAATGTTAACATTATCTTTACCTTTAATGGCACACCTCCCGACCTCACATCGCTGACTTGGCACAGTTCTATCACATCTCCGTCCTGTAACGAAGTAACAATTAAGCATTTGAGTTACGTCACTGATTAAATTATCTACTGTTGATAGTCATATGGTTTGATTAACCAGTTTATGACTATCGAAAACTATGAAGAATTGGGATTCGAATAAGAGGGTACCATGGGCATTACTTTGTAAAGTCTAGGATGTTGCCCATGTCAATAGTTGATGGCTACCACTTTCAATCAGGTGGGCCTTTAATTTATTTGCTATCTACCTATTCCATTCATAAAAAAATATGGCAAGATGGAATCATAAAGTTGTATTTTTCATTATTATATTATCTCGCTGATTGTATTTTTTACTTATCTTAAAACACCTATTTTTATTTATATTTTTATACAATTGTCTGTAATTTAAACAATGGACCATTACGCATTAGTTAATAAAAAAAATTTATAATAATTTTACTCGTAATATAAAACACAATTTTTTTTCAATTATTTGAAAAAAAAAATACCGTAAGGTAAAGTTACTGAAAGGATTATTTATTTGGCAACTAAGATGGCAAATAATAACACAACCCTCCTGATGGTAAATAAATAAGTAGTTTATGAATAGGTTGCGGTTTAACTTGCTGTTACTTAAGCCCGTATGGTTTTCATAATATAAAAAGTACTCTATATTTGTTAATGTAATGGTTTATCAGAAATATCATTAAAATATGCTCAGCTATTTTAGAGTGATTTAAACACACAAATTTACACATTGAAAAGATTATTATCAGGTTAGAGCAAGAAGAACTATATTGTTGCATAGTCAACCAATGTAGGTACATTTGTTTAGAATTGTATTATTCAAAAGAAACATTCTCCTCATGGCTGGCAATGTGTCTTGGAAGGAAATTAGCTTGGCTGCACGCAACTGTCGTCCTAGGAGGATATTGCCGCACGGAAATGATTTATGTATCACACTTTAGTATCTATGTACACGTATGATCTGGTTTGTACATAGGGATCATTGTAATAGTGTATTATTATTAGTTCTTGAAAACAAATTTAAAAGCAGTCTATGTTGTTCCTCGTGGCAGGTACTGTACGTGTGCCAAATTTTATGACGATTGATCGAGCCGTTAAGTCGTCGTGAGATACAAACAAACTCATTTTGCACAATAATAGATTGTTACATAGATGAATCGAAATAGAGAATCATAGAATTTGAAGGATCATAATACCTATTCCTATTACAGCAATTCTCTGTAGTTTTTTCTAAAAAACATGTAAAATTGTATATAAAAAGAACGAATATAGAACAATAAATTACATCGGCGTATTTAAGTCTTACAAAAAAGAAGATAAGTATCTATAAAGGTACAAAGAAAACTTTAATTTTCTTGATAAAACATTCCTGTGTTGGCACCTGTTCGCCCATAAACCTTCGCTGGGATGGTGAAACGGACAAAATAATGTATTCACGTAATCTAAAATGTAACTCAGGTGCGACTAGAGGGTGTAATGGGGTGTACATTTTAAATTTTTACGGTAAATGATGTGGAAGGGTGTAGCTTTGGGCTTAAACCGGTCTTGAGGCGAGTGCAAATAAGGGACAGGCCTCAGAGGTTTCACATGTCGGTATAAATAGAACACTGGAAGCCAATTTCCATTGCGAAATGTAAATAAAAATTAGTTACATAACAATAGTTTTATTAAAAAATCGAACAGTGCACGAAATTAAGGGTTGATTGTTAACGAAACAGAATTAGATTCAAGTCATATTGAATAGATTTTAAATTAACGTACCCACTTTAATAGTCAAGATATAGACGATTCCGTCAAATTCGTTGAATACTATTTTGATTACAATTAGAGGTTTACACGTAAAACTTTTGAAAGTAATGTCGTGTAACCAGTTTCATGCTATTAATTCCGCAATGTAATTTCGACTTTAACATTGTTAAATGTACATGAGGGATTTAAAGTTCTGTGTCTTTTCTACATAATACATTATATATATATGTATAATTTCCATTTTTTTTTCTTTGCATATTTAGCAAATAAATCTGTAAATTGCTCATTTAAAAATAAAATAGACAACATAGTATATAAAATAAGTAATTAATTAAGTTTTCCTTTAGCTATTTACTTACTTCCTAGTACTTCTATCCTAACCAAAAGAAGATTGTGTATTGAATACGCTGAAACAGATGCATGCGTAATTTTCACTTAATATATTTTTTCAACCAGATACATAGATCTTTTAATTGGTGAAGATTGAGTGGTTTGCCCTAGTGATTTACGTTTGCTAGGTACCAGTGAGATAATCATGATAGTTTGCAAAGAAACTGGATTGAGTAAAACTTTTGGAAATCGTTTCGATTTGGAGAAAAAATATATAGCTATGGTGCCAAGAGATAACTAACAAACTCATTTTACATGTTTTATATACAATAATGTATAAGAATGTGCACTCCTACAAGATACATCGATACAAGTATTCACTTCACATCAACAGGCAGAGAATAGAATCGACGACCTAGTTTATGACAGCTACGGAAGTAGACGTAACTCTAGATCTAGTTTCAATCGAGATTGCAACTGTCGGACGCATTCGACTCATCATAAACGCAGCTATGTACCGCGATGCATGCCCTTCGATAGACCTACTTTGTGGTATGAGTAGAACCCCTTTATCAGTGTTTATGTAGCTACATAAGTAGTTTTTGCGAAAAAAAAAACAGGGATGTGATTCGTGATAAGATTAATATTGTCAAAAAATAAATATTAATATATATAACAAAAATTCAAAGCCTAACTGCAGTTTCCGACTCGTCTGCCAAGTGTGGCAACTATTAGGAAAATCCCCTAAGGGGGAGGCTTACATTCAGCAGTGGGCAGTTAACATCTGAGATGATGATGATATATAATTTGTAAAAATATTATTATAATAACATAGAGTTTATGTCGATTTTATATATTTACAAATTTTTATATTGTTTGCATTACTTTCCTTTTTATTGGAAGTAAAAAAATTTTGTATTACGGGAAAAAAAAATTACAATATTTTAGAACGTTTATCGTATAAGTAAAGTCGTGTTTGGACTATGTGATGTATATGTGATACATTAGTCCATTAGTTTCTTTTTTTTATGGGAATGCTCTATAAATGAAACTGAATAGTTTTTCATGAGTTTAATAAATGACACATTTAGCTGTTAAGTTAGTATGGAAGTCTCAATATTTTTTTTTTTATTTTGAATTATTTTATTTAAATTTTTAATCTCATATACTTAATTCAGAGCATAGTCTTCTTCATTATTATTATTATCGTATTAGCCATTAATCGTGCACTGCTAAACATAGGCCTTCCCCATAGACTGTCATAAAAGATGGTCTCGAGCCATTTGTATCTGTACACACCACCACTGTATACAATGAAAATTCAGCTGAGAAGAAAGAAGAACGGGCAAGAAACACAGCAGTTGCTTTTTTCAAATAAAAGTTAAGATTACAACAAAAAACATGAATAGACAAAATGACTATCACAAAATTCGTATTGATAGAAGGAAAGAAAATAAAAAGCTACAGAACTATAATTAATCGCAGTATTCTTGAACAGACCAGTCGACACTAGAAGCATCTATTCACCAGTATGACGGATGAGTCAGTCATCGTTGTGTTTAACCATGTTATAGGAAGCCCAATTACCCGATCCATAACGCCGTTACTGACTCCCTGCAATGTGTTAGAAGTTGTTGCTGCATCTGAAGGGAGGGCCCTTCCCTTTACAGTATTTTAGTTTTCCTCTATACTTATTATTTTTGCCTTATTTTTGTTTTAATTTTACTCCTTTAGAACGACAGTATATAATAGTGGCTGTTCAAAACCCTCGTTATCACAAGGTGAAGATGACGGCCACGACTTAATCTTATTCATATATTTTCTGGGATTATCGACCGCGTCGCGTGTTTGTACACGCATAGCTAACTTAGTCTTTGCTATGCTGTAAATTTTCCAAAAACAGTTTATAACCTATACTTAGGGGGGGAAGAGATTATTAGTAATGGGAGGTTTTTTTAATGGTTGGAAATGAAATGGTAACCTCGCTTACCATTGATAGATGGATATGGATGGACTAGTGATAGGTGATAGTGATAAGTGATAGGATAGATGATAGGTGAAGATGAAAGCAGGTCAGTTAGCCCATCGTTTAGAAATATTAACCACAATAGTTTCCACGAGGAACCGCATGGAGGTCGGCCTGATAGGGAGTATTGTTAGCAATGGGCTGTTAGAACCCATTACTTCTACCCTTTCCCCTCAGTAATGGGAGGTTAGCCCCTATTACTATCAATATAATATACCTATCAGGTCGACCTCCATGCAGTTCCCCCTGGAAACCATCGTGACTAATTTATCGTTGAATTTGTCATAATGGGTTAACTGACCTATCTTTTCATCCTCACCATTCATTTCTCACTGGTCCCCCGCCATAGTATACCGATAGCGCAGGCGGGGTTACCATTGCATTATTAAAAAAAAAACCATTAAAAAAAACTATACTTTATAAATTTACCTAACATTGAATGCACACTAATCAACAGTTACACAGTCATATACATCATAAGTTATAGATACAAAATGTTATAGAGAATTCAATTGAATTCTATTCAATTGAGCAATGTCACTGCATTATGTATTGGATAGTATACTAACTATTATGTTATCAGTGATACAGTATTCAATAGGAATACGGTTGTATACAATGTTTAGAATGTGTATACTATAATGGGTGAAATTGAAATTGTTATCGGTACGGAAAACTAAGAATCTACCCACGCTATAGAATACATTTCGACAGAATATTTCGTGAATTAAAAATTCAAAAATGGCAAGGGATTTCTTACCTACCTCGCATACTAATTAGCTGGTCGCGCCGCGTTGGTATGAGAGGTTCAAAATATGAGTATTTTGTCGTCATTCGAGCCACATTTCTTTGGTAAAGATAAGTGTAATGTGGGGTTCTTCTGAAAATGTGTATTAAGGTTTTATTCAGGGTCGACAACGCGCACATGATATCCCTAGTGTTATAGTCACCGTTTGCCTTTTGATGAGCTATATAGTATGTTCATTTATTTTCGTGGTATAAAAACAATAAGATAATGCAATTTAGTGGACCTGATATTATACGACCCGCGTCAGAAGTATCGAGATGGTCGATTTTTAACGTTGAGTAAATGTTTTGATATGATATTTTTTTAGATCTTTTTTTTTTATAGCAAATGTAAATATTATCCAACCAGTTTTGAAAGGATTTTTTTATAATAATTTATTATTAATTTTATAATAATTATTATTTAGACGTTCTAATATATTTTCTCAATATCTTAATTTTCCTGTTTACTAACTTTATGTACTAAACAATAACAAATTCCCAAGATTCAAGTTCGAAAGTCCGCTACCTTAGATTAGAGTTGAGAAACGAAAATAACAAGACTTCGATGGGAAATATTTTGGATGGCAATAAACTTGTAATTTTAAGATATGATTTTAATAGTACCTATAATCGATAATATGATTTAAACATATAATTTCATCTAAGTTTAACAGAATAGAGAGTTTGAATTTTACTCATGAATAAGCGTATATTTACATAATAGACTTTTTCTTCCAGAAAATGGTCTTCGTTTAATAATCTACACTATTTTTCCATTTGAATCTTGAGTATTCAATTTAGTTTAAACGGCTCAACGGATTTAAATTAAATTTGGAACATGTTCTACGTAATACCACAGATAATACAATAATCATTACGTAAGTTATTATCTAGGTATTATATAGTTGCTGATAAGTAGATTACTATAATATGTAATATGTAGTTTACACAGTTTAACAGTCCAGTCATGTAAATATTAACTATGTCATGGATGTGTCATATACTTTCGTACACACACTGGCAAAAGTGCTTTATCAATTTTCAAACAGTTGCCTACGTCACTACACAAAACGTTAGTATTGTATTGCAAAGCAAACGGGTCGATAGTGTAATTTGATTATCTGAATCAATATTTAGATTAGCTAATTCCTTTGCTGACTTCAATTATGTTAACATTACTTCTTTTATTTGATCTACTAACTAAAGTTGGTATAAGATATCTGTTGTTACACATTTTTCTCGTGTATATAACTTTTTGCTAAAGCGATAATATGTAATAATGTGGGGTTAACGCGGGAGTAAATTCTACCGATTGTAAAAAAAAATATTAAAATTCGCTTAGAATTTGCCAAGATATCCCATAACCTACACCCACATTATTCTATTGCAGGAATACGTAATTGTATTATATGATGCTAAGGTAAAAAATAAGGGAGATCAGCATCGGTACGTGAAAACTGTGACTGACGTGATGCAGAAGTCAGTAAAAGAATTTAATATCAGTTCTTCCAAGGTACTAATGGAAATTTATAGTGCCATCTTAGCAGTTTCGAAAACTCATAGTTATGGAAGAGATACGTAATTCTAAAATACATGAAGAAAAAGAATTCAAGCAGTCAAGATAGACGACATTGTCAGTGTCGATCTATCATATAAGTTTTTTTGTCGTCACGCTGTATTGAGAGAAACATAATATCTAATACTTATATATAACAATAAAAAAGAAAAAATCATCTATTTTATTTTAAAGATAGTCTCAACAACTGAATTGAATTTTGTTAATGTTAATTGATGGTTAAAACTACCCATCAACTAAATGAAAATTAATAATGAAATTTTATACAGCTTTTCATCCTATTGTTTAAACTAGTTAAAGGAAAGATTTGTATTTTAAATTTACAATTATATATCATACAATTTTCCATTTAATATTTAGAATTACTTAATACAGGATTTTGCATTTTATAATATTTTCTAGTAGTTTTAAAGAATATTTATGACAATGGATGTACCAAGGTCAAGATTTTTGACAATAGCAACTAGTAGATAATGCAGAAACTTAAAAGCACTTCTGTAGCTATCTAAACCTATGTTTTTTTTTTAAGTAAAATAAGGAAAAAAAACCCAAACGTATCTCATAATCTTCAAAGCTCGTTCACGCTCAATTGAAAAAGCACTTTAAGTTAAGTACAAGAGAGTTCAACGTGAAGATAGCTCATTAAAGCAAAGAATGTGCAAGGTCGAGTGTTCAAAGGCCTGGGAGAAGGCACGGAGCACCGTTGAAGGGCTGCTTGACGGCTTTCTTAATGACCGTGGAAAATTAGAGGTTATGATTGATGTCGCTAAATAAAATGGAAAAAAAAAGAAGAAAAAAATTATTATTACTTTATATTTCTCTTATTACATTTCGACAGTGTATTCATAAAAATGAGCTTTTATTGATATTACAAAAATAAAGTTAATCTGTTATAGTTTAGTAAACAAAGATATGTATGGAAATATGTACATATACATATATAAATAAATATATATATGGATATGTACACAGGACGAACTTGAAGGCTTTATGTATAATTTGAGGTTGTGTTCCATAAAAAACTGACTTCAATTGTGACAAAATTAATTATTTTGTTTTCAAACTTAAATTATGAAACATATTTTGATAAAATATCTACAAAATCAATCTGTAAGTATATCTTTTCAGATAAAATAATCCAAATCGGTATACAACTGACGGAGTTTTAATAATAAACATAAAAATACAACCGAATTGAGAAACCCCTTCTTTCTGAAGTCGGTTGAAAACTAAAAATCTATAAATGCTGTAGATAATATTAGAATAAAATTTTTGTAAATTAAAAATCTATTCATATTACCTAATTATAAACATAACTTTTATATTTTCAATACCTACACAATCGGGATTTAACGTGATGAAAAAGCTTTTCAGGTAAATAATATATACATACCTGCTTCTTTATTGTCGATTTTTGATCGTGTTTAATCCCTATTGTATATTTAAAATATGTGTAAACAACGTGAAAGTTTAAAATTAACTATGCCTTTTACACTTTAATTTATTTTTAAATTGATGTGAATTTTAAAATCATTCATGATTCTTGCTTTTGCTTTGCTTCGTGCTTCGTAGATTTTCAGATGAATCTGTTTCGGAGATTGAAAATTTAGATGAATTCCTGTATTACGAAGATGGCCTAGAAACTCTTGACTCAAGAGGGCAACCTCGAAATTAATAGCAGTAAAATTAGTATTTGATTGCTAGTCGCATTCGTTAAAAATAACAATACATATTTTAACAGTCTTTAAAGATTTTACCGTCCATTCGGAATGCAATTTCAGGTTGCTAAAAACGGGCAAGAAACTCAATTATTGCTTTTTTCAATCAAATATTGATTTATTAATTACTAGATGTTGCCCGCGACTTCGTCCGCGTGGTTTTGATGTAACAGATACATTTTCCTTCACTGTTATGCTCCTATTGATTGTAGTGTGATGAAAAGTATATTATAACCTGCCTAAGTGTATGAAGAATAATAGTACCAAGTTTTGTTAAAATCCGTCGAGTTGTTTTGGTTTCTATAATGAACACACAGACAGACAGACAGACAGACAGACAAAAAAATTTTACTGATTGCATTTTTGGCATCAGTATTGATCACTAATCACCCTTTGATAGTTATTTTGGAAATATATTTCATGTACAGAATTGACCTCTCTACAGATTTATTATAAGTATAGAAGAAGATAGATAGATTAGTATGGGTCATAAAGTTAAAAATCTTTATATATTATATTATATATTATATAGTCAAAAATCTTTAAAAACATCATTTAGTTTCTCTGGTTGGTTTAGAGCACCCAAATGATGCTTATAATAGTATTTCACCATGTATAATGTGAGGAAAACATTCATATCAGTCGATAACTGTTACTGCTAAATATAGATCTCCTATTGTTATGAGATTTTGTCCGTAGTTTTGACGCTTGATAGGCGGGTTGCCAACCGCAATTAAAACTTTGATGATGTTTTAAGAGAGACGCTGCCCATCCCTTGATCCTAAGTAGTAAGTTCCTCTAGTTGTCTCTTACAACACCCACAGGTCAAGGCTGGCCCATTCTATGCCGGGAGCACACGGCGAATAATAATACCTTAGATTACATAGATATAAAAACGGGTCAACTTATTGTCAGCTAATTGTCAAATAAGCTGACTCGTTTTTTTTTATCAGTGTTCTGTCATATACTTAACGCACGTAATGTATCTTGACGTATCTATATTTAATTATTTAATAAATAAAATGAGTTATTACACATTAAAAAGATGCAAAAATTATAAAACAAAATAAATATAGAAGTTTTAAAGGAAACATAACTATTTATCACGCAAAATTGTATAAAAAAGTTGACCCGATTTTCTTAAAGCATTTGTATGAAGACACTCTAAGAATAATATATCACATAATTGAAACATATATTTTCAACTCAGCAAAATCTAAATTTATTGGTATGCTACAAGCGATTCCTGCACGAAATAGCACGTTGACAAGCCCTTCGCTAGTGCATTCAAGGAGTAGGTCACCTAGGTCTGTAACCTTGACACCATTCCGGTGTTCTGTGAATATTTATTGCTGTTACATTACATGTGAGGCATGTTCTACCTACATTCTCCCTGTAAGAGGAATTTTCACGAGTAAACAGTACCTAGTACTTACTTCATAATTTTGGCTAAAGGAATAATAGCTGTGAAAATAATATTCTAAAACAATATTGTTTTTATTAAATAAAAAATAAATATATTTTATATATAAATTTATATAGATGTAGTAAAATCATAATAAAATGATATCTGTGCGAGATTAGAGGAGGCATTTAAGAAAAAAATATAAGAGTGGTTATTATTAAGAACAATAATTAATAACAGTATATTTGTTCCAGGATCACGCAAGAACTACTGCATCAAATTAGATATGGTTTACACAGTTGTGTTTCTAAAATCTGTTATATGCTTTATCATGTTACGCCATCTAAAAATGGTCTTTTTATTTCCTAATTACAAATTCCACACGTACGAAGTCGCGTGCAAATTTAATATAATATATAAATGCATGTAAATAATAATTTTACTTACCTACATTTATATAATTAGAGCTATTTCATAAACAAATATAGATCTTTTATTCATAATTTACAAAATAAAAAGTCCAGTTTCAGTTAATTATTATCAGAAATTTATCATATTTTATTCATATATAACGAACATACAGACAGACAGACAGACGAAAATTTTACTGACTGCATTTTTGGCATCAGTATCGATCACTAATCACCCCCTAATAGTTATTTTGGAAATATTGAGAATACTATAGAATATTAAGAATTGACCTCTACAGATATATTATAAGTATAGATTGAGAAAAATATTCTTTCGTGTTTCTGTATAATATAATAATAATAACGTTTAAAATTAATATTAATTTAAAACAATAATAACCACGTCACTTCAAATTGTAATTACTATAATAAATTCAGCATTAAAGATTATTTATATTTTAATAATTCTTCAACACTATAGAAGCCCTTCTCGACAAGCCAGTTTTAAATGTACCTGATTATTAAAAATAAAAACTAACTCGCTTTTATTCACATAAAAGCATTCCTTACAATGTAATAATTTTCATTTAGCTCAACACTCATTCCCTTCATACTAGGTACAAACAATTTTCATTTCAAACAATTCACTTTCACGTATATAACTATACTGTTTAGTACGCACGTTTAGGGATAGTATAGTAGAACGTACCTAGTCGTAGGCCCAGTGTAAAAAGAAATAATTTTATATGTAAACTGAAAGAAGTGAAGACGCGAGTTTAGATAAAAGTGTTGTTACCTATTTTATTTATGGTACGAGACAAACAATTTAAATTAATATGTAAATATAATACAATTTGCTTATATTATATACTTTATATGTATTTTTTTATACAACTACGGTGACAAACAAGCGTGCGGTTCGTGTAATGGTAAACGAGTTTGTCGTAGCCTATGCAGTTTAAGGCTGGTATGATGATGATTCGAGTATAAAGTCTTTTTGAAAATATCTGTATGTGAGCAACGAGTTAAAATTTTGTAATTTGACTATATAAAGGTAAGTACTTGTAAAAAGCTTTATGTGTTATTCATTATATATTTATGTTTGCAAATAAAACACTTATATGAATAGCAAAAAACAGGGCACAGTAATTTAGGCTTACCGGGCCCCTTGTGTTCTTTGACCTGGAGCCCCAAGTAGTAGTCGCCTTACTCTGTCCAAGGGTAACTACGCCACTGAGTACATTCAGATTCATTAAATATTGATACTGGGTTGGACAAGTCTGCCTTTCGAGTCTTGAATTGACAAAGTCTGCCAGTAACAATGGTACCCACGCATTTTCCTCTGAATAGACCGAGTTTCTTATTGTGTAAAAAGGATGTTTCATTATAATTTGTTATGTACCTATATGCTTACGTGAATTATGGATGAAGTATATAAGACTAGGTAGGTACTTAATTGAACGTACGATACATAGATTAAAAAAAAGAATCCAGAGATAAAACGAATGGAGATTTAAAACTTTATAACAGAGCTCTTTGTTTTATAAACAGTTTAGTTTGAAAAGCTTTATACTGGTATGTTTTATTATTTTTTTTTATTTAATTCCACTACCATTAGTATACGTGCAACTATTCGTATCAACACTCAAAGATAAAAAAAATTCTATGTTTCTTGCTGATTTTGATCTGCCAGGTTTTTAGAAACTTTGTGATAGACCTTGAATTCTCTAAGCGATATATTTCTATTTCAGTTATCACGTGCCATTAATTCTATTTGGTTGCCATCAAAATATTGTACAAATTAACTCGTGTGAAGAGAAATACGGGACTCGATAACAATATGTCGTTGTTTGTTGTCATTTCCATAAATTAGTATAGTATTTGTTGATTATTTTATAAACAATTGTATTATTCGTTTAGTGTTACCAACTGGTATTATTATTTTATCAAACATTTTATGTGAACTGACTGTGTTATTATATTAATTTCCAGTACAACACAGCAGGGGTGAGGAAATGTTTATTAATGAGAACTAGTGGAGCCATCGCTAAATCTATCAGGTAGACCTCCATGAGGTTACCCTGGGAACCATTGAGATTAATTCCACATGATTTTCTCATGATAGGCTAATTGACGTGAGTTCATCCTCACCTATCATCACTTACTGGTACCTTCGGCGAATACAGATAGCGAAGGTGGAATTGCCATTCCATTTCATTCCATTAAAGAACCTTCATTTAAATATATTAAGGCAAATATTTCGACAAATAGTTCTTATACGGGACGGAATTTTAATTATTAACATTATTTTAAGATTTTTTGAAACTTATATTCTTTTTTTAAAATGTCCATATTTGCGAAAAGAGACCCTGCGACGCAAAGCGTCGTACGCCCCCTGAAGAAGACTTACGGATGTAAAATCTATACATCCTTTTAAAATAGTTGTAATTCTAGTAATGGAACTGATATTTTTTCGCTATAGAAATAGGGATCGAATATGACAAAAATTTAGAGCATTTCATAATTTTATTAACAGTATGTTATTCTTTGCTTATGAAGGGCTCAATATTTTTTTCGACTTGTGTTCCTTATGGGAAAATATTTTCACTGGTAGAACTCCCCCTAAAGCATTCAAATATTCTTTCTTCCCCTATAATTTCAATATTGACTTGATATCTGGAATGCCCTGTTAGTATGGGGAGGCCAAAATTTATTGTCGTTTTTCACTTAATAATACAACACACGTAATAAAATTTTTATGATCTAATAATATTTATATTATATAAATATTTTATATTAATATATTAGCTAATATGATATTTTTATTAAATTTTTATTATTTTTATTTATTTATTGAAATAATTATTGTTACTAATCCTAAAATATTTCTTTAATGCTATTAGATTCTAGTTTTGAATATTACCTTGTATATAAAAAAGTAATAACGATATATATGTAAAAAAAAAAAACAAGAACTCGCTTAAACGTTTAATACGAACACCTATATGTAAGATAATATTTATTTACATTTATACTCTATTAATCACGAAGGTTCAGTGGCTTTAAACTGAGCCCTCCAACCTACTTAGGTCCTTCGTTACCATTAAGCTGGTATAGAATTCGCCCCATCCATCTTCCTATCTGACCCTAATCAAATCCTAATAGCTATTTCGACCGATGCCACTTTAAGGTTGGCCTACGATTGAATCTTATCTACGAAGCGAATTTTCTCTTTTTATCACAAATCCTTTTCATAACTACCCACATTTATATCTTCCATCTAGTCCCTTCACTTAATAGTTATTTCAGATTATACTTGTTTTTATATGTTTCACGTTTAAAATTCTTCTTAGCCGTCATTTTCATATTCAATTCCACCATTTAATCATTATCTGTCATAACGAATGCACGTGAGCGAAGCCGCGGATTACGACTAGAAATTTGATAATAATCTCGATTTGCCTGATCTAGCAAAATGTAAATAAATCCATCAACAGAAAATACAGATTCTTATACATACCTATTTCTTATTACATTTAAAAAAAGAGATGTACAATTAAAAGATCTCTTCCAGCTAATCTAATGCATTAAAATATGAGATAATAGCAGCATCTGGCTCAGAAAAGTTGTGTTCAAGACATAAAAAATAACCACCGAGTAAAGCCTTCTTTAAAATTTTTACACCTCACCACAGGGAGACTTTGTACAAAAGTCGTTTGCTTGAGCACCTCTGTCCTATTCGTGTTTCTACCGTGAAGCAGTTGTTTGCATGGCTGTGTTTCGGTTTGAAGGGTGGGATATGGCAATGGATTTACACAGTACAGAGGAATAATACCTGAGTTCTCAGGAATGGCAACGTGTATGGGTATCATTGGCGTAACAGTATACTCTGTTATATACATGGTACTGCTCAATTCTATAGGCGACGGTTACGACTTTCCATCAGGTGGGCCGCCAGCTTGTTTGCCATTCTAAGTTGCATAAAAAACAACATTTATAATATTAGTAAGATTTCTTTTATGCTGAAAGAATAATTTTCTATACAACATCATTAAAAAAAAAAATTAACCCACTACAATAAATCTCCTATACGTAGGATCATGTTTTACGGGGCTATAACCTGTTTGTCTATTAGCTATAATTTGAATGTATGCAATCATCGATTGAATTGATCGAGTTCATCGACACTACACAAAGTATTATTGCATTACAACAGATATGGGTACTCATACACACTCGTACAAATGGCCTGATTGTACGAACAGAATTAGCTTTAGCGGCTTCATTTGTATTTTTATCGTTTTGAGAACTGAAGCACCTGGCTTTCATTATCACTTAAATAACCTATTTTAACATTAATTTTCTTTCCCTCTTCAATCATGCACTCTTGACGTGGGTATTTAAGGGACTATTACAACAACAAAACTGTTAGTCACGTAGCAATATCTATGGATAATTACGCATTCTAAATTTGAATATTTTCAATCTAATGTGTCTTCGAAATATCTCATTGTTCATTAGTGTAATTTGTCACGATAAAGGTTGCTATTTCTATATTATTTCCGATTCATTTTTAGTGTCGCAAGAACTGCTGATTTATAGTTATGATAAAAAGTAGTATGAGTGGGTAATATATAGCAATATCTATTTTTTTTATACAACTTAGAATGGCAAACAAGCTGACGGCCCACCTGATGGAAAGTGGTAACCGTCGCCTATAGACATGAGCAGTACCATGAACATAACAGAGTATACTGTTTCGCACATGATAACCCCCGTGCGTTGCCATTCCTGAGGACTCAGGTGATATTCCTCTGTATCCAGTAAATATACGCCATATCCCACCCTTCAAACCGAAACACAGCCATGCAAACATAACTGCTTCACGGTTGAAACACGAATGGGACAGAGGTACCCAAGCAATCGACTTTTGTACAAAGTCTCTCTCTGGTTAATCTATATATTTTAGTGACAATATCTATACACTAGACCAATATGATAAAAGTCTGTTATCCAAAAAATAATGTTGAATAACAAACTTATATATTCGAAAATAGATATTCGATATAGGCGATAATAAAAGAACTCCATTTGGCCAGTTTCATTCATAAAATTGCACATAAGAAGAGAACTCCATTTGGCCAGTTTCATTCATAAAATTGCACATAATAAAAAACCTAAGTATCTATATGAAAAAATTTTTTGGACGAAAGATATACATAGTCGAAATACTAGAAGTAAATTTACAGACAGAATTAAGCTTCCTGCACATAAAACTGTTTTCTTTAGAGGAAGTTTCAGGTTTTCTGCAGCAAAAATCTGGAATGATCTACCACCTCCTTTGCATGTTAATATGTCCCAAATTACTTTAAAAAATAAACTTAAAAAAGTCTTATTGGAGAAACAAATTCAAAACAGTTGAGAAACTGACGCTTCACGATTTTTTTATGATTCTGTCATTGTGAAGTGCGATAATTTATTCAGAGTCTATTCTTCTCGGTTTTGGTTGTAATTTTTTGTGTATTTGTTGTAATGTTTTATGTATTTATTGTAATGTTTTATGTATGTGTTGTAATGTATTATGTATTTGTTGGCAAGCGTGTTGAGTCTCCCATCCGAGAAATAAGTATTAGCGATCCGCACGCATGCTAAAGGTAAAGAAGTTAAGGGGCCGCCTGAAAATCAGCGCTATATAGGTACATCTCGCTGGAGCTGTACATATATAGCAATAGCTGAGGCGGCTCCTATTACCAGCAACATTAATTGTTTTTTTTTTTTTTCCTTTTTGTTGTTTTAATTTCTTAGTAATGGTAATAAATGTCATCTATCTATCTATCTATCTATCTATCTAAAATGGATGTTAACCTATTTTTTCACCATTAATATTCAGAAAAACCCAACATATAGATATCCGATCTGTATCCATATAGGTAATATGGATGTATAAAAATCAGCCACATTCACTAGCTCATAGATACTTGGAAAACTGTGGAGAACGGTAGTGGTAGCGTTATACTGTGCCTTAAGTGCTATTTTTATTTCGTGTATACCTCAGAGTTAAATAAATAGCTATATATAATAAGCATGCATAATACTATCGACAACCCTTGGGAAATAAAGCCGGCTACAGACTTTCATTGCAGTACCTACGTCTAATGTAAGCTGCCACTACAGGCACACACAAAGTTGTACATATTATAGAATAATGAAAGAGGCATGAAATATCTCTTAAAAATTCAACAATCCTCAAAAACTGGGACTGAAAATTTTATTACAACAGTTGGGATTACCTTACCACAGACAATAATTATATGAGCTGTAAACTATCACTCCGAATAATTAAAAAAATATATTTACCAACTCATCTATTGGGTAAGTTCTTCTTCCAACATAGGGAAAGTAGTAGTACATATTATTACATACATTTGTTTAAGGAAATAAAGTTATTATTATATTATTATTATATGCGAGAGGCAATTTTCTATTAAAATTAATAAAAAATTGTTTATAACAACTAATAATAATTAGACTGCCTAACTGTATTTATACAAGTATATCTGGTTATATTATTTATTGTTTCTTTTAATCCCTACATTGTATAATGCAATATTATACAATGTAGTTATACTCATTTGATTTATTCATAAATAATTATATTTATTACTAGATACCTATTTTTTATTATTTTATTAGAACACAAAACATATTGGATAAACGAATAAGTTATTTAGGAAGCTAAGATAAAAATTTAAATATAAGAAACTTTACAAACAAACAAAATTTTATATTTTAATTTAATGGGATATAATATAAAGTAGAATTCGACCCTCTGTATTATGGCACTCTTGAAAGTATGAGAAATATTCATTAGAACAGTTAATGAAATTTCAGTGTAAAACATAAACCCCAAAATTTGTGCCTAACGAGCTTCTTTAGTAATTTAGTTTAAAGTACTCTTACTCCTACGAGGATAACGTACTCTGCTATTAAGAGTTTGTAGGCTACCTGAAGTTTAGGTACAATAGGTAAAAATATGCTGCACTGTAATAATCATGATTTAAATATGTTTATATAATGCATAATTACCAGATGGATTATTTACCAGAGGCAGACTTTGTGCAAAAGTCGATTGCTTGGGCACTTCTGTCCCATTCATGTTTCAACCGTGAAGCAGTTGTGTTTACATGATTTAAATATGTTTATATAACACCTGAGTTCTCATGGCAACGCATTATCATAATAATATTTATGTCCATGGTTGCTCGTGTCTATAGGCGACGGTTACCACTTTCCATCAGGTGGGCCGTCACAATAAACTTGTAATAATGTTAAATTTGCGTAACGGAATTCGAAATGAGGATATACGCGAAAGAACCAAAGTGATCAACATAGTTCGAAGGATAAGCAAGTTGAAGTAGCAATGGACTAGTTATATAGCTCGAAGAACTGACAACCGATGGGGAATAAAGGTTCTTGAGAGGCGACCACGTACGAGCAAACGCAGTGTAAGACGAGCCCTCACTAGACAGAGTAATGACCTCAAATGCATTGTAGGAAGTCAATGTAGGCAAGTGTCTCAGGACCATTCGTTATGGCAGTTTATAGGGGAGGCCTACATTTAGGAGTGGACAGATATGATAATGATGAATGTTAAATTTAACAAATAATATAATATACTATAAATAATATAATCACAGCTCACAGTTCGTTCACCTATAAACAATGTACGTTACAAATACCTACCTATTTCAGAGCTCTTCAGCTCCATTCATCATTCATTCATTCATTCTGCTATATATATATATTTTTACAGCAATATAAACGAGCATGCGGCTCACCTGATGGTAATATTTAACAACTAAATATAGAAATTATTCATATTTAATAAATAAAGATATTAAACATTATTAATTTTCATTTAAGACTTTATTAGGCAGTCTCAGATGGTATTTGTTACCTACTTAGGGCACTGTGTTTTTTTAAATAGGGTATTTGAAAGTCCCCGATTGTAATAGTGTGCATTGGGTTTGCTCCTTTTAGTTCGCATAGACAGAATTATAATTTAGTACATACATATATGGTTTGAGCACATATAACGTAGTTCGACAGGTTTAAGACATCCTATACTGATAATGTGATTTTGAAACTTATATAAAAATATGTTACGCTCCCTCTAGGGAGTTTAATGAACCCAAATTACAAGAATAATAATAGGATTTACTCAGTATAATTCGCCAATGAAACTGTATCAATCCACTGATATTAGTTCCTCAGTGCGAAAGATATATTGAACTAGGCGGATTATACTAAATATGTTCTATTATGATTAGTGTAAAGCGAGTTTTAACTCTCCTGTTTAAGGCAATGAGGAATAGAGGCCCTACTGCTAGTAACATAAGGTATGTTCACGGTGTGTCAGGTCGACCTCTGCGCGGTCACCCTGGATATCATCGTAGTCAGGAGAAAGGTATTATTAGTAATGGGGTCTAACAGCTCCATTGCTAGTAATTCACCTTATTAGGTTGACCTTCACGCAGTTTCCCCTGGAAATTATCGTGGTTAATTCTTGTTGAATTCTACCGATGGGCCAACTAACCTACTTTCACCTACACCGGGATAGGAATTTCACTGGTACCCCGCCAAAGTATACCGATAGCACAGGCAAGGTTACTATTCCATTTTCACATATTAAAAAAACCAATGGGCCAACTGATCTGATTTCATCACTTTCACGTGTCATCTCTCACTGGTTTCCCGCTAGCTTATACCAGTAGCACAATCAAGGTTACCATTTCATTATGACCCATAAAACCCCTGATTTTTAAAATAATCATAAAACACTACTCACCCGGCCTTCGCTCTTCCAGTAGATAAAAAATCCATACTCGTCTACTTTGAATAAACAATTCTGCTCTAATTCGGTGTTATCCTTCTCTTCTGTCCATCTGTCAAATACTGCGCCCTGCAATAAAATTATATATTTAAAAAAATACGATACAATGTGTGCTTAACGATTAATCAAACAATGCACGTCTTCGTAAACTGTGTATTCAGAATATTAAAAAAAATATATAGATAGATATATTAAAAAAAAAGTGTATGAAATCGAACATAAACATACAAATATATAAAAAAAAACCGATTGTCTAAGTTGCCAGCAACACAATGGGGAAATATTTAAGTTTCATAAAATGAAAGTTACTCAAGAAAATTAAACGTTTTTATCCTTACTACTTAATATAAATACGGAAACGTTTTAAACGATTATTCAATCATTCCTACGTCTCAGTCGCGGAGAACAATTCCACACAACTGACATTTCCATAATTAAAAAATATCAATACTAATACAAATTTCTTTCCTCATTGTCATCGTCTTCATATATAATTTAGAGTCAACCATGCTTGGCTAAGGCCCGCATGGCTGAACATTTTACCCCCATAAAAGGGAGATGTTAAATACAATACATATTAAAATAATACTAATAATTTAATTATACTCGAAAATTACTCACTAACAAAAAATATTTCAAAGTTACACAATCACAGTAAAAATTTATAAACCCCAAGCTTTATTTTTCGGACTAAAAATATAATTCACTTATTAATAAATATCATAAATGGAAAGTGTCTGACTTATTTTGATATTGGTTACACTCGAATGTATGACATCCGATAGCCTAACAAGCGTGAGAAGGGGAAGGGATTGTTAGCAATGCGGTTGAATAGCTCTATTTCTAGCAACCCATTCAAGTCGACATCTATGCGATTCCCCTTTCGTGGTTAATTTTTGTGGAATTCATCACTATGGGCTAACTGACCTGCTTTTATCTTCTATCCTGTCCTATCCTGTCCTGTATTATCTGAAATTGGGTACTATTCTACATATAAATCTCTATAAATATATCTAAATGAAAGCAAAAGCTGAGAGGGAGAAACGGATTGTTAGTAGTGGAGATATAACAGCTCCATTGTTAGCAATATACATTATCAGATCGACCTCCACGCGCTTTCCTCTGGAAACCATCTTGATTAACTCTTTATGAATTCGTTATTGTGGGCCAATAGACCTGTTTTCATCTTTATCTCATTTCATCTTTATTTCTCACTGGTGCTCCGCCATCGTATACTGAAAGCGCAGGCGGGATTACCATTCCATTATCAGCCATTAAAAAAAATCCGCTCATAAAAAACTTTGTTTAAAAGTAAGCGGAGAAAAATATATATGTATGTGGATCGCGATTTTGTTTTATACATAGTATAAATATAAATAAGAATGTGGCTCTCTTATAATAAATTGACTCCCAAACGTTTGATGTATTATCAAGGCCAGGGTCGTAATAATATTTCGCTTGTTTTTCAATTTTATGAAGTAGGAATCTATAAAAAAACTAGTCTATTTTTATTGGCCGTTTATAAATAGTGGGCAAAGACGTTTTGAGTGTTGAATGTCAAAACATCAATTGCATGAATATTTTCTTGGCTTTGGATCTATGATATTAGACAGAGTATTATGTGACCTACTGAGGTAAGTACATATCATATCATCTTTATATTAGACCACATAATAGCACGTTCCCATACTAAAAGATTCTAACATTTTTTTACCATCATTATCATATCAGCAGTCCACTGCTAAATATAGTTTTCCTGTAATGATTGCCATAAGAACGGGACCAGTCCTTATGGTAGTTGACCATTAGGGAATTTTGTCAGTACTTACCATGTTTGACAATTGAAATAACTATTTCTTATGGGATGAAAATGTAATGGTAACCCGGCGTGAGCTGTCTGTACTCGTATTTGCTGGTGGGGTACCAGTAGGCGATGTTAGGCAAAGTTGAAGTCCGTTTCAGCTTGAATAATTCCTTAGGAAATGACCACCATGGTTTCCAGAAGAGATCGCACGGAAACAGATTATATTACTAGTAATGGGCGGCTAGTCTTCATTACTAATAATCCTCTCCCCCGAAATTCGACCTCCACGCGATTCTCCTGGTAACCATCATGATTAATTCTTGATAAATACATTACGATAAACCAACTCATCTTTACCTATCACCTCTCATTGGTGCTCCGCTAGCGTATACCGAAAGCGTAATCTGAGTTATGGTATTAAAAACTCTTCCCTTGTACTCATGTACTGTTCTTTGTTTGCTTACTCACTTCTTACGATATTCTAGAGATAAGAAAGAGTTGTGTCACATTGTTTACTCTACTACCACACAGTGTCACATGAAATGAATCAAGAAAGCAATATATTGATAATACACACACTCATCCCAATTTATAAATTGCCTATAAAAATAGATTCTTCTTATTTATAGATTCCTACATCATAAAATTGAATAAACGGTCTATCCATATAGATGGTGGTGACAGCTTTTTATCAGGTTTGCCGTCACATTTCAAGTAGATGGTACGGTTTTCAGGAGGCGCGCTGATTAATCTTTGATTGATAGTCGTCCCTGGCCAGCAGCCAACTTCCTACTGTGACGGAACTGCGGTATGCTAATTGTTGAACGGCTAACTATAGTTTTATATTACTTGTATTTATTTATTTTTGTTGAAAACTACTTAAGCATGGTATTCATATGGAAACAAAATATTAAGTATAAATTTGGGTATTTAAAGAGTAGGGAAGATTAAAGGAAGATGGTTGGACTATATAAAAGATAATATAACAAGAAAGAAAGCAGCAAATAAACCGTAAATAGATATGAATGGAAGAAAAACATCATGCCGGTGTTAAATCATATGGAATAAGGGTAGGAAGATAATGTTGCCTTTTGCCTTATTTTAAAATAGAAAGGATTTTGTCTGGATTAAAATTAGCCTAGCCATTTCGAAGGGCAACGCGGTTACGAGCTTATATTATTATTTTCTAAACTTGTGGTCAACATTTAGACCTGCCCTTAAATAGCTCCAGTGTAAAATGAAACGAAACATTTTAATTTACCGGGGATTATTTTAAACTACTCTGAGTTTTATTATTAGTATAGTATATGCATACTTAAAATACTATATATCAGTTTGCCGTCATGTCGGTCTGACTATTAATTATGGATTTTTCACAGATTTATATATTTTATAGCGTTATTTTTCACTACTATGATAATTTCTTAAAATACCTTTTATGCTGTATAAGATTTTCAAAATAATTTAAGTAGAGAGATTACTAAGTTTATTTACTCTTTTCGAAATTACTACTTTTGAGGAGAGTTCAGATATATAGACATAAAAATTAATATTGTTGAGTTTTTTTTTTTATTAATAAATCTTTTCCTTTACAGATTAATTATTATATTATTGTATTTTACTAAAAATGGACCGACGATTGTGGTTTTTAATTATTTCCAATAATTGCTGATAACGGTGACGTCGCCGCATCGTTAGTGTAGTAGAACTCACTAAAGCCATCCCATGGTTCAAATTTCAGACAGGCCACATTGCAAGCTACACGAAAGTACCATTAGATTATACAGCTATTTTACGAAAGTAAGTTATTGGATTTTTTTTATAATTCGGTAGTTTTGCGACTATGACTACGACTATTTTGAAATAATGGAATAGGTATCTGTCCATTCAAAACGATAAGCGATATAGTCTCCTTTTAATAATACAGGTCGTGAGAATAGTGATATGGTAGTAGCATATGTACCTGATAAACTCTAATCTGAACTCTAATCTCAATATTGATTCCAATCCAATCTATTGACAATGAAAATTTTTTATCGCACTCCTGCAAGGCTACAATTAGTATACGAATTAGGTAAATAATGTGATCGCATTTATTTTGGCAAGTTACACTAATCGCATGTTACTGTAAATTGCCAAGTTATATTGACACGTTAGTTACACTAATATACCAAAATAGCGATAAGAGTGTCGAATAAACCAATTACAATATTAATCCAATAGCTTTGTATTTCCTTTGAAGGTAATGCTAACATATGTCACCAATATGTCGCTAGTGTTGCAATTCAAGAGTGCGACGTCACAATTCCAATATCAAATGTATTGGAATGTATTTCGAGAGTAACCCAGCAGTTTCGTCGTTCGATTTCGGTTCATCAGAATGAGAAATTCAAGCCGGGGATCCAGCTTAAGAGTGCGCGCACGTGCTTCACCCGATCCCCTATGTGGGCGGGAGTGAAATGTTGTTTTCGTAAACACTTACGTTCGACTTTGATTTACGGCGCATTTCTATAACAATTTCCTAGACATTGACAGAGACATGCCATTTTCAGTATCTTAAGCAATAAACCGTTGGTTATGTAAAAATAAAACTGGCAAGCGCGAGTCGTCGTCGCGTACGCCAGCCAGATGTGGTAGTAAAATAATTTTATTCATTAATCGTATATTTTATTTGTAAACTGACTCATAAATATGTTTTATCTATTAGTCTATTCCATTACTTAGTTTTAAATAAGAAAATTGGCTCAAATAAAAAAGAATCCAAATAATGATTACTTACAATTTTTATTAAGAAGGGGATTACTTGCAGCTTACGACTACATGAAACTTCGACTATGTATAATATGAAAATGAATATACATATCCGACAGTACGGACAATATTGAAATGGGTGATGACCTATTTTTTCGCCATTGTTGTGCAAAAGAGGAATTTATAGAAATCTTAATGGAACCGTCATTACCCATAGCTAGACGGAAGGATTAATTCACACTATATAATCATTATACTTTTACATTTATATTTTAGGAAGATTTAAATTAAAACGTACTTTTTATTCCAGCATTTTATACACGATTCGATAATTATATTTTTACAAAATCGTAATATTATGTCATTACATTGATATTATTAAGAAGGAAAAATATTCGGTAAAGGTTTCCCTTATATACTTAAACACTACAAATCCAAACATCACATAGCACAAGTATGCGAAGTTTTGCATTCATAATGAACATAATCTATGTGCCTACTAAATAAACAGCCTTGTAACTCCCTCAGCGCATTTACTCATCAATATTAATTCCGTACTCAAAATATAAACAGGCTGTCATTTTAAGATATTAACATTTATAGACTATAGAGTGAAAACATTAAAGCACCGTTCCGTAAAATTATATTTCCGCTGTCGCAGCAGCCTAGAATCTCATAAGCCGAAGCAATTAAGAACGAGCTATTTGCATTACTAGAATATAATCGAATCTTTAACAAGTAGTTAAAATATTAGATACTTGAAGTATATTATCGGGAAGTAGATATATATGCAGATTTGCAAGCCTTAAAAATAAAGAGAGTAAGTAAACTAAAGTAAGCATAATAACCTGCATATAATTACTTACAGGGTATAATGAAATTAGACTATATAAGTACTTATATATAGGGTATTGAACCTCCCAATGGCAAAGACAGTCTATGGGGGAAGCTTATGTTCAGCAGTGCACAGTTAATGGCTGACATGATGGTGATGATAAGGAAATTAATAATACTAAATCCAGCAAAGTTATTAACGAAACTAAATAACCTTTAAAAATAGTTAATTATAATAAATGCTACAAAATCACACCAATCGCTTATCAGAGGGGGGAAAGGGATTATTAGCAATGGATTTTGACAGCCCCATTGCTAGCAATATGCCCTATTAGGTCGACCTCCACGTGGTTCTATCTAAACTATCGTGAACAATTCTGGTTTAATTCGTCACGATGGGGTAACTGACCTGCTTCATCCTCACCTATCATCCTTCACTGGTGCCCCGCCGGTGTATACCGATAGCGCGGTGGGGTTTACCATTCCATTATCACCCATAAAAAAAAATCGCCTATCACAAGTATTTTTATTGTTCAATTTAAGTGTGGAATACAGCAAAAAAATATATGAGAACTATTGTTTTTATTAGTGGCATACGATAATAAACCTTATTATTTGCAAGAATTATTAAAATCGGTTCGGAGTTCGCGGAGATATCGGGTAACATACATGTAAAGAAAAATGTCATTTAAAACCTTCTTTTGGAAAACGCACACAAATATTTATATAAGTATTTAATAAATAATATTTACTATGTAAATTATTATTTTCAAGTATCTTATTTTAGTAGTATTTATCTAGTATATTTTATGCTGTGTGATTACGGCAAAGAATAGGCCACCCTTTACTTTCCTGTGGGTGTCGTAAGAAGCGACTGGAATTTAATGGTAGACGGATGGGCAGCAGCGTTCCTCTTAAAACATCTCTAAAAGCCTAACTGCGGCTGTCAACCCGCCTGCCAATCGCGGCAACTACTGGCAAACTCCCTCAATATGAGTTTTATGTACATTATATGTTCAGCATTGGGCACATAATGACTGATATGACGATAATTGTAAAAAAATATGAGTTTACACGGTATATTACGAAGTACTATATATTTATACCAGTTGTTTCCTCATAGCTTTGTCTGCGTGAATATAAAATAACTTAAGTGTTATGATATAATCTACCCGTGTAGATAATTTCATTCAAATCCGTTCAGTCGCTTAAACGTGATAGAGTAACAAACATACAAACATCTTTCACATTTATACTTATAATATAAATAGGATTAGTTTCAATGTTGAACATACCTGTAACAAGGGCTCTGGAACGGGGATCTGCCAATTGAATTCAAACTTTTTCGTCATCCTGCAAGGTTGATATTAGTCTACGCCGCAAACTTTTCCCGCTATTTCTTAGAAGCTAGCCATCTTCCACAGCAATCTGTAAATAAAATGACAATGGTAGAAAATTACTATGGCTCATTTACTTTTCTCATAACAGGGTTTCTTTTCACGTTATACTTTTACATAATATGGAAAATTATGTTAAAATTCTTAAATATTCCAACATAATTTTCCATGGCACCACCTATTATTAAAATTATTCTCTTTTGTAATTTTGAGACGTGAATGAATATTTAATATCGTCACTTTTATGTTGTTGAGCAGTCGAATTTTGAGTTAGGGCAACAACGAAAAAAAATTTTTTTTTTAAAGCAATTTAATTTCATTTAAACTTTAGTGTCAATCAAGTAATATATTTATAATATTGAGGAGAAAAAAATTGTAGCGGACCAAATTTATGAAATGACCTTAATGAGAATTGAACGAACGCTTTTACGCGTTACAGTTGACGTCATATGTTTTGTTCTCTAGATGATCTTATAAACATCTTATGACACGATAATAACAATGTTATTAACCACAAAAGCAATTTAATCAACTGTTATTTCTGCGAAAATACTAGGAACGTCCATTCGCCCACTTTATTCAATCTACTGTTACCCGCATCTTAACAGTACCCAATTAGGCTTAAGATTGGGCGAGTCCCCTCTCGTTAAGTGTCGTCCTTATCTAGAGACCCGGACAGGGGTCATGGAGGTTGACCTCGGAGTAAGGACGCTATAGTTCCAACTTCAATTAAACTTACAACTAATATACTTGGATTTTATTTTGATTAATCGTTGCGATATGAACAGAACCGTAGAAAATGGTTGTTGTGTCATCAATTAAGTAAATCTAAGTTTATATATTTTTATGATTGCCGCTGTGATAGCGTTTATGTTACGTCAGGAATATTTTCAGAACATACAACAGTGTTGCCAGCATTAATTTTATTCAGTCTAATTTTTGCCCGTCATACGGTAACTTTTTATTTTCACTATTATACTTGTACCTACACGTATGTTAGTTATTATTATAATTGGACATTTATACAGCGCTACTTAGTTTAGATAAAAATAACATGAAATATAAGTAATAGAGAACTGATATACATATTAATTTATATTTTTCGTAAATACATACTTATACGTGCATATAAAGACTTTTTACTAATAATAATATAAAAATAATACATATAAACGCTAGATGGAGATCGAACCCAGAACAATGATTGTAATAAAATGTGTTTAATCGTTATACCATCAAAATATATGCCAATTGGGATAAGCAGGTAAAAAAATATTCAAATAGATTTCAGTAATGAGATCACAAATGAACCGTTTTTTTTTGTTTAAGGTTGTTACGTGATATACGTGTAAAGGGTTTCCAAACTGTACCTTGGGGTATCGTCAAGAGTTAACTGTCTCTTTTTTAGGTACATAAAATATGGAAGCACTGGTTTATACGAATTTCTGTCTAGCGAAAAAAGTCCTTAATTATAAGACCATTACAAAAACGAAAAATATAAATGTTGTCAAAATATAAGCAACGTTTTAAAACAGTTTTTTAAAAATTAAATTTCGACTATTTTGTCGTTTTGTTATACCAAAATCGGACCAATAAATGGAGTTTAACATTTCTTTCATCATACATCCTATCATAAAAGTCCAAAGGAACAATATTTTAACATTTTTAATATTTCCAAACGGCATGTATTATGTAATTTTAACATCAAATTTCTGTTTCGTTTGGCTCCGAAATTTCGGAAAACATTTCATGGTAGGCCCTCAGTTATACCTGTGTGCAATCGCGCCTAGTTTTTTCTTTTAAAAGTTAAGACTATTTTGTCGCTGTGTTATTCGATAATAGAATGGGCGACCACTGTCCTTTTTAAATATATGTAAGAGAAATATACTGGTAATATATATACTATAAATATATAATATATATATATATATATATACTATAAATAGTACATTATAATACACACCTATGTCTCTCGCAGTGGACAGTTTTTTTTTAACGGTGATAATGGTATGGTAAGACTACTGTGTCCTATAAATATATGTACTATAAATATACTATAATATATATACTATAAATATATAATATATATATATATATATATACTATAAATAGTATATTATAATACACATATTTCTCTCGCACCCTGTAGATTATTTGAAGTGAAAATAGTTATAGTGACCTAGATAGATGATGAATATTTCACATAGTTGCTAACTTGACCCATTTATGAGGGATAGAATGCCTAAATAAGTTGGCAACCACGTAGTCTTTACGTTACCTGCCTACAAATGTACAAGATAAATTGTCAAGATTAATATACAGGCGTATGCGATTTATCGTGTAACAAAATTGTTTGTTTACGTAATAATTCTTTGCTTGTTATTCGATACTAGTTGTTTCCCGTGGCTTCGCCTATCTATCTCAAAATCGTTTAATAGTTTACAAACATAAAGATCATAAATGTTTAAACATTTAAATATTTAATAATATATAATAATAATAGGATTTAATTAAAACGAAACATTAAAATATAGTATATATTTTTTGTTTTGATTGTAAATGTATTAACTACAAAGATATACTTTTTTAATCGATGATAATGTAATGATAACCCTGCCTACGCTAACGGTACACGCTGGTGGTATACCAGTAAGAGATAATAGGCGAGAATGAAATGGTAAGTCAGTTATTGTGATGAATACATCTGGAATTAATACGATGGTTTCCAGAGAAGACCACGTGGAGGTCGATCTGTTAGGGTATATTGCTAGCAATAGGTACGTGGTAAAAGAATGTGAAAATAACCATAAATGTTTTGTACATTAATAGATATTAATAAAAGAAATAATTTTTTTTAAATATTGAACAGGTAGATAAATTTATAAAAAAATATTTACCTATAATTACGTAATAGGTATTATGTGTAATAATTATCCATTAAAATCACAATTCCTTATTCGATAGTAAAATTAATCACTAAATTACATCTAATCTAGTATAAGTCGGTTATAAATTTTATGTTTTACATTGAAGTCATGTATGTTTTACATACTGATAACAAATTCACTAGATTTTATATATAAAAACGTAATTAGAAATATTATTATAAACAAATTTCATATTTAACATTGTCCTCCAAACCTCTTTATACTCGTAGTATTTGCAGGTTCACAGTTCGCTATTCCTTCATCATAATTCATCATTTGTCCTTACATAATATATTTATTCGTATATTATCGTTTCAGCTGTCAATGGTTTGCTGATGAATTGAGTGAACCCTTCATAAATTGCCATATAAAAGTCTTGAGACCCTGAGAAACCCTGCATTTGAAAATTTGTCCATTGCCCAGACAGTCGCAAATACATACTCATACACCAGCCTATATATATATTTTATACAACTTAGAATGGCAAACAAGCTGACGGCCCACCTGATGGAAAGTGGTAACCGTCGACATGAAACATGAGCAGTACCATGGACATAACAGAGTATACTGTTTCGCCCATGATACCGCCCATGCATTGTCATTCCTGAGGACTCAGGTGTTATTCCTCTGTACCCAGTAAATTTAGGTCATATCCCACCCTTCAAACTGAAATACAACACATGCAAACTCAACTGAAAGAAATACGAATGGGACAGAGATACCCAAGCAATCGACTTTTGTACAAAGTCTTCCTCTAGTATATTTAAGGAGACGCATATAACCTGTCAAGTCGACCTCTTTGCGGTATACTAGTGTGGTTAATTTAATGATATCGTCGCAATGGACCAACTGGTCTGCTTTCATTCTCACCTATCATTTCTCACTGGTGTATCGCCAGCGTGCACCGACAGCGCAGGCAGGTTTACCATTCCATACCGTCCGCGTGCTCGGACATATTCAGTAACCAGGATAAAAAGTACTATGTGTCCTTCTTGATTCCATATAGTATGTGTATAACTTTCATAGTGATTGGTTAAGTCGTTATCAAACAAAGAAATTCACTTTTACATTAATATCCATTTATTTTTTGTAACTAAGGATTTATGTTGCTAAAAATAAATGGAAAAGTATAATATTTGTAATTATGGAAACAATTTGATATCTGTACTCGAGTTTAATAATAAACATATTTGATGGCAATAAAAATCTAATTTTAACTTCCAATAAATTCCAAAGTATCTACATTTTCTAGAGAGAAATTACTCATATAACATTCTTGTCTTAAAAATTGCCAATTCAAACGTCGACTTATGCTAATGAAATATTGCAGAATGGGCCAAGGTTAAGAAACAGTACCCAAGTATTCTTTTGTTACAATAAAAAGGAATTTTGTAATGAAACATTTAAAAATACTATCCGATTTAATAATTATTTATTTTTTTTATTTATTTCGAATTAGGCACACCAACAGTATACATATTATACATAAGTTAAAATAACATTTCTTATGTAGTATGCTGATATGCATACCCATAGCAGGCGTACACAACATTGACTACAGATTATATGCATATAAATGTCATAATATAATTAATATAATAAATTAAATTTACAATTACATATTCTTTATTACAAAATTCAATAATGAATACAATAGAAGTCTATAATTGTTACTGATCGCATGATTGGGAAAGGTACTCGTATTTTACATGCGAAAATTTGTAAAGTTGGTTAATTTTAAACTTTCACGTTGTTTACACATACTTTAAATTCACGATCGGGACTTAATTTAATTAAATTTACCTGTAATCGCGTCGCGTTAAGCCCCGATCGTTAATATAAAATATTAGTAAGAACGGAAGGATGGATGAATGGATAGATGGATGTTTAGAGGTTTGTTACACTGTCACACAAAACCTACACGGATTTGAATGAAATTTGATATACAGATAGATGATATCCTAATTTACATATATAGGATACTTTATGTACCGATTCACGCAGCTAAAGTCGTGAGATTTAGCAAGTGTTAAAATATTTTTTTTACCATGTACGTCATTATGTATGTCCTAATTAAATATTTATTTATTGAGAATCAATCACT